CACGCCCCAGGTTCAGGTTGCCTGGGACTTTGGCGTCAGCGTAGCGACGATTAGGCGCTGGCTGGACCGCGACCGCTCAGGAGAGACGCCCGAAAATCGCGCAGATCGTGGGCGGAAGTCGGCCTTGAGCCGAGTGGCGAAACCGTCATTGTAAAGTCGGCCTTTAAGCGCCACTGGACGAGAAACCTGGCAAGAAAACCGACGGCGAAACAACCAGCCTCCCAGTCGGCCGTTCACCGGTATCTGAAAACCAGCCTGCAGCTGAAGCCGCTCAAGCCCAGGTTGCAGCCAAGGCTTACCGTGGACCACAAGCGAAGGCGGCTGAAATTCACCAAGGCCCGCAAAAACTGATCCGTTCGGGACCGGAGACGCGTCCTGTTTTGTGACGAGTCTCCCTTAGAGCTCTTCCAAGCACATAACCGCTGAACGACGGGCTGGGCCAACAACAGCTGGAGGTGCCGAGCGCGAGACAATGAAGCAGGCGCTTAAGATTCTCGTCTGGAGCATGAGCTACAGAGGCCTCTCTGAGCTGCACCATGTCCCGCGCGGGCAGACCGTCATCGCCGACTACTACGTCAGAGAGGTGCTGGAGAAGACTGCAGCCCCAGCGATGCAGCGGAGGAAGGAGAATGGCCCGCCCACCAAGGCCAAACTACTGTCAGACATGTCCAGGGCGATGTTTCAGCAGGACGGCGCTCCAGCTCATCCCGCCAGGAATACCCAGGACTGGCGCCGCGCCAAGTTCCCGGGTTCTGGGGGAAGGGTACGTGGCCAGGCAACACCCCGACAGGGCCGATCGAGAATCTTTGGGCGATCATCAAGGAGGAGCTCAGAAAGATGTCACGGCCAGTTCAAAGAAGACTGCTCCAAAACGTGCAAGCGGCGTGGCGGTGGATCAAGGCAGACTCTCGACACCTTGGTGTGCAGCATGCCGTTGCGCATGCCGCAGCGTCTGCGACTGCGTGGGGGTTACGTTGGAAACATTATGAACAGGTCTCAATTATTTTCTCTGTTAGTGAGGACGATACAACCGCGCATCAATTTCGGGACACCCTGTACAAGCAACAAACTGATGACGGGAGAGGTACAATTCTAAAACCCGCCAGTTCCAGAATCAGGAACTTTCGCTGGTCCGGAATTTACTGTCGGGCTGCAACGTTTATGAAGCGGCAGTCAGGTGAGTCGATAACAGCCCAGCAGACACACCCCGCGTGCTTCCACATTTTTCCAGTCGGGGGGAAGGTGGGGGGGGGGGGGGGGGGGAAAGGAGGTGGGATTAACCAAAGTTTAACGCCCGTTCAAGGTAATCCATTTGGGGACGAGGTTCATTACGTAGATATCAAACCGTTAAATCACAAAACTTTAGGAGGGTTTAAAACAAATGCGAACCTCTCGATCAACCTTCCAGTGCCTTGTTTTCACCTTTAACCCCTTCCAATGGTGGAAATGGTCTAATCTATTGCCTGCGGCCAAATCGCCTCATTTCAGTTCGTATGCTTAACTCCTAGGGTATGTGCATATTGTGGAGTGATACTGTTGTCATGAAAAGTTCACACGCACTTATCCCAACACTTTTTGCACAGCACTCCCATCATGGGTACCCCAGCACAATGGCACCATTCCGGATAAGGCTGGTTAAAAATATGGCAAAATGAGAACCAGTTACCAGAACCTTTGAGGACTGCTTGAAGCTGCCCCGACACACGACGGAACACCTCGGCTCCAGCCCTCCAGTGCTGTGCACAGCAAGCTTGACTGCACATACAGTGCAGCTCTGTATCCAGCACACCCGCGTCGCCGTCTGCTCGGCAATGCGTCTGATCGCGCCGCATCCCACAGCGCACCACCGAATGATGACTTGGGCTTTAAGGCGCCCGCCAGCTGCCCTGGTCACACGGCGCCCATACGCATCACCGGCCGCGGCGTCCCCCGGGCCCAGCCCCGCGCCCGCCAGCTGGCGCTCACCTCCGTCTTCAGCTTGGAGCAGGCGTCGCGGATGATGGCCGTGCGGGCCTTGCGCAGCTTCCACAGCTTGAAGCGCTCGAAGTCGGTGAGGTTCTGGGAGCGCTGCTTGGCGCGCAGGTTGCGGCACCAACGGCTGTCCTCCCACGTCTCGCTGACGTGACGGCCCACCCACTGCTCGCGCACCATCGGCGTGCTAGCCGTGTGCGGGATGCGGATGCGCAACGTGGTGATGTGCACGTTCTTGAGGTTCACCACCTGTCGGCGCACACCCGTGCATGGTCCGTCCACCAGCACCTGCAGGGGAGGGGGGGGGGGCATCAGTGCAGGCCCCCACACGCACACCACACCAACTGGCCAATAAACTGGAATGGGTACATCCCTCATATCATACACATGAGCTCTTAATGCTCTCATACTTTTACAGATTAGCACTTCCATCTGTTATGGATGACCATTCCCAGAGCAGAAGGCAGGTACACAAAAATGAGTCCCACCCCCCCTGTGGGGGCAAGCTCCAGTTGTGACACCATATGTAGAATCAAAACATACACATCCCAACACCAATGAAATGTGTGGCAGCACCAATTGATGTATGCTGGACACCATCAAATTGTACACTCAACCAATCTGAAACTATATTATATCAACACAAAGTTGCACATGACCTGCCTCCACCCTTGAGGGTCTTTGCTCAATGCAACAATCTTACTACCACGCAATAGCCAATAACCACTTACCCTATTCTGGTCAATAATATTGACAACTGCACATATCTTGCCCTGCAAAGGGCCAGAGGCCATGTAGACCACTGCGGCCAACTTGTATAAAATTTGGTGAACCCCTGAAATACAGATGTCATCTTATCACAAAAAATTCAGGACAGCATGCTAAAGCCATGAACAGTCATGAAATCATGACCCACACTTGTTGGACAGTATGAGTGGCAACAGCCTACCATGCATGATCTATGGCAGCAATCATGATCTCTCAGCAATTATGATCCTCCTGCAGCTGCTCATAGATGCTTTACAGACATGGGCTGCAAACATGTTTGAGTTTTTAGGAAAACTTATACTTTACATACAGTGCAAACCTGAGGCTCAAAAGCAAAATACATCAAGGCAAACATGAGAACACAGATAGCAGGGTATGCTCCCTGTATGGCACATAATTCATGTGACACACATTCCAGTGTATAGTTATCTGGTGGCTGACATAACTGAATTAATTCACAATATACTTATTTCTTGTCTTAATCACTTCACTCTTTCCAATTGCCCTTGATGGATATTGCTCCTAGATTGTTCATGCTGAAGATCACGCAACATCAGAGGGCAGTACAGACTGTAAGCATTGCAGCATGTTAATCTTTCATTAACAAAGTCTGCCATACATGGAAATGATGAAGAACCAGATGACAAGGATTTAGGCTCACATTGCTCCTTAGCATGTGTTTAAAGTCACAGAAATTCATCGACTGAAAATGTCCTCACTAAATATTAATGAAACAATATAGCATCTTCAACAGCATCCCCAGGATCTCAGTCTTCTACATCATACATAAAACTTTCTACACACAGTTATCCGGGACAGCACACATCAAGCAGTTGTCACGATGCACACAAGGAATAGGGTGCATCAAGGAATGAATAACAGCAATGTCAAAATATCTTTCCAGGCAGCATAAATAGAAATCAGCACATTTGAGGCTAGACTATTGCAATCAGCAAAACAACCAACTGCACAAAATGCCTACACCAAATCAGCATGCAAAACATCACCCTCACATACTCCAAGCTTTTGTTAACACACAATGCTTAATACTGAAATTGTATATTTTAGCATATCACACACTTCAACACCAGCCATATGACATCATCATGAAGCACAATGGCAGTGCACACATAGGGTATTCTATTCTGTGTCCCCTGGATTTGGGCTGCCATGATATTGTCGTGCTTGAAGTTAGCTAAGCTGAGAGCTGTATTCAAGGGTGCAGCAGGGTAGTAGTTCAACAAATTAACTGCATTGGTCAGCAGGGCTGGACAACACATTGCATTAAAAGTGGCATTATGCAGGCAAGATGATAAGCTTTCAACGCAGCCGCCCGCGGCACCCCACATCAAGGAACAGGTGGGTACATGGTACTGTCACTGGTTGTAAACATGGTCATCCTATGTGGATGCCCTGATGCATTTTTCCACTTCATCATATAATATTTTTATGGAATAAAATGATACAAACTGCTTTAAAAATAAAATGGCACTGTATATATTCCGATCACCTATCAAATATCATGCTTCATTGCAAAAATCCCAGCCCATGTGCTAAAACTCGTGAACGACGTACTCTGAACACAAAGCACTGGAATTTAAGGTATATAAGCGCTGAAGCTGTTGGCGCGATGTTACTGCTCATCCCGACATGTCAGTCATTAACGTGTTTTTTGAGGAAAGATGGGCTGTTGACGCCCACGAAAGGGGAAACAAGAGCCAGCCAGAGCAAAACCACAAGCTTAATCCCGGTAACTCGAAATATTCAATATGCCTCTCTTCAAAACAAGCACTAGCAGCCGACAAAAACGTCAACAAATTGAACAATTCTATCCCGGTTCCACCAGCATCCTCACCATGGCCACTGTAGGGAAGAAAGGATGACCCGGACAGCAGTGCCATTTTTCAAAAGATACTGTGATTTCGTTGGAAGTTTTGTCCCAACATCCCGTTGCAGGCGGTGTGTAGCTATTAATTCACTTTCAGTGAATATTACAACTGCCCTTTCAGCAAATTATTGAAAAAATCATGGTTTTTATCGTTAATTACAACACTGGTACTCCCATTGCGTTCGTATGAAATCGAGAAACCGCAATAAATTATGCCACAATTCTATTATTTGGCAGCAAAGTTCTAGCTTTTTAGGCATATGGTGGCTATTGCCAGAGCGTAAGCGGCGCTAGTGTTTCAAAAGTGTTGTTATTGTTTTTCAGTTTCGTTTGCCACTTTATGAGCCGCCTTACTACAAGAGGAGCCCTATGTGCATGCTGGGCGTTGCTGTGACGGCTCTCGCTGGGGAATGGAGGTAGCTTCCCCATTCCTCAAGCGATAGTTAAAGCGGTGTTTTCTTGTTCTTAAAAAAGATTGCGTCATACTTTGTAGTGGTACCTGTGGAGAGCTTGTTCGAGGATGGCACTGTTGCAGGTTTGTTATGAATTTTTTCATCTTTATGTTGGTCACACTTTTGAAAGATAGCTTCAGGGTTTGAAGCGACAAACGATAGTTTGTTATTGTGTTAAGGCATGGTACCAAAAAGCATCGATTTAGGTTTCAGGATTGTGGATCAACCTGAAATCTAGGGAACATGCTCACCCAAGACTAGTTCATTTTAATGAATAAGCATGGAATATATCATTTGGGGAATTTAGTGATTTTTCTTCAATGTTTGGTCACCATCCTGCCTTTTGACCTGGTAGTTATGCTCATGAGTGACAGACTTCAAAGCAGACATGCTACAATAAAGATGTACTCCATAACAGTGTTGTGACAGGAAAATGTCAGCTCATGAGCACCATAAATCCAAGCGATCATCATAGCATCGTCAGAAGCAGGCATCATAAATTGCAGCACATTAAGTCTGAGGGGTTATAATGCTAGGGTAATTTCAAGCTCAAATGATATTAAGACATGTCACCCAAAGTAATTTGAAAGTTCCGTGCAGTTTTGCCTGACCTGAGTTAGCACAAGAGAGCACAAAGTTCAGCGCACTGATCTTGGGTGGAAACCCAGCATAGTGGATACATTTTTGCATCCTTTCAGAAGTGTAGGAACTCTTCAGGAAGAAGGAGGGCTTAATATGCAAAATACATTGATATTACTCATCTCCATAGAGTTCAGATTATGCCATACATATACAATGGAGTTTATTTTTTTATTTTCACAGCTTAATGTGGAAATATTATGAAAACCGGGCATATGGCTGTCATGGCATGCTATTCTTATGTCTGGCTCAACACACAAACACTTCCCAAGAAAAAAATTGCCTTGCATCATTAATACTTGTTTATTGTTCATGTTAGTTGATTGTGGTTATGTTGCACATATATGAAAGAGAAATTTCAGGTACAGATCAGATGCAGATGTATAGAGCTAATTTCTGGTTGCAGAAATGCCATTAAGGTTTCAAAAGTTTTCTAGGTAATTGCATATGATTAGCAGTCTTGTAATCTTGCTGATTTGTACAAATTTGTACCATTTCCTAGATTTATTTTGTTTCCATGGGTGAGTTTCACTTATATATGGTGTTAATATACTGTACAGAGTATATGCAGACCACAATGTTAACTGACACTGTCTTTCTAGTGGAGAAAGTTCAACTTCTTTGAAGTAACAAAAGAAGTTGACAATGGGGCAGTTGCAGAGGCATTACAGGTAAGGCAGCTGCTTCATACCAGCTTGCTCAAGGAACAGAAGTGTTAAAACAACTACATTTGCTGGTTCAAACTTGTAGCTTGCTCACCAAAAACAGCAGCTGTAAGGTCATCATCCATATCAAATATTAAGGCTGCTGTGACCAATGCCATGGGATATTAATAATGCGGCCTTTGGCAACAGCAGTGTGCTTTGGCTGTAACTGTTTGATAAATTGCATAATTCTGCAGTAGTCCTAAGAAGTGCTGGTTTCTTTGTTGGTAGCCCTGGATTACAGGATATCTAACATTTTGGCAAGTTGGGTTTAAATGAGTTTAAAATGCATGTACCATTTGGAAGCATTTATAGCCCATCTGTCATCCAGTGGTGCAATAGCTGAGGTCCCAAGAAAGTCTGTCACATGATCAACATTTTTGTTGTCTCTGACCAAAAATGACTCCTGCTGAGTAGGCAGTCACCTTTTGCAGTCTGTAAAGTATTTTGGATCTCCTTCCTTTAAACAAAAGTGCACTCACAGTGCAGGAGGAACAGGTCATTGATCAGTGCATGAATCATGGAGGAAGTAAGATGAGTTGCAGATGTGACAGTCTAAGAAAAACTTCAAAACCATGTTTGATTGTGAGAGGTGCATGGAAGTTTCATGTGAGGACATTATTGAAAACCCCACCAAGTTTTTCATCACTGAGGGAGGGTAATGGTCATGGCCTTCAAAAGCTACCAGAAATTCTGGAAGTATGCTTTGGTTCAGGCAGCTGCAGGCAGTTCTTGAATATCATGAGCAGTGTTTTGCCTACATTTAATTGAGGCATGTTGGTGTAGAAACACATCAAGATAGGCTGGGATGCATTCTGTTTGACTGACAATGCTCATGGATTTTTCACAGCTAATTAAGTCTGGTGTCATCTGTACAGTGGATGTTCACTCCACTAAAGTTCCCTCTGTGAAAAGACTCAGATCATTTGCAAATAAGCTGCAAGCAGCTGTTCCCATTGCAGATCCCTGGAAATCTCCCATATTGTTGAGCAGTATTTAAAATATTTTAGCAAGACTGTTATTCTAGCAATACCTATACTGCCCATAGTTGCAAGTCAACATAACTAGTGACATGCTATCCCACTCTGGCCTGCTGCATCACCTGTGCAGTCAGCAAGGCTACTTAACTCTTCCCACCTTTCTCCCCTCAGTCCGGTCAGGTGACCTGTACTGCCAGCGGTCGGGGGTACCTGGTGCTGGGTGACAGCCGTGGCCTGGCACACTTCATCAACCGCCAGCTGGAGGTGGTCTCACACCGCGTGTTTGATGCGGCTGTGTCGCAGCTCGTACAGCTGCGCTTCTGTCCCGTTCTGGCCGCCGCTGGAGTAAGTATGCGCAAGGATGGGCTGCATCTGCTCCCATGATGACAGGCAGATGCTTGGTGCTCCAGTAGAAGATATCATTGTCTTCATGTGTGACAGACCAGAGGCACTTATTTTCTTTCCAGCATCTGGAGATTACATTGTTGGACCAGTAATCTGAAATCATGTGTCTGGTGATTGCAGGTTGGACTGTGACTGGTTGAGAGAGGGCAATCAGTTTCTTCCCAAACAACAGAAATTATCCGAGTAATGTTGACCTCTGATACGCCATCAAAATGTTAAATGTATCAGTTAGATAGATGGCTTTTAAACAACAGATCATTTTCCAGGAGGATGAACTGGGAGTGTCATCGATCAAAATACTGGGCCTGGAACAGTTGGATGGTGGCGGCGCCCCTCGGCTGTTGCGACAACTAAAACTGCCTCCTGCGGCTGACGGCGGGACCTCAGTCACTTGCCTCAATGTTCATGAAAATCTCCTGTTCATGTCCGCCGGTTTCACGGACGGTCGTGTCATCCTGTGGCGCGGTAAGCCGTCATCCTTTGGCAATCATCTTTACTTTGCATTAAATGTAGCGGGCCTAGCAAGGAAGAAACGTCGAACGCAGTTCAAAGAGAGCCCTAGGTACCCTTCTAACGCCCATTCTTGTCAAGCGCTCGGAACTCTGGACTTGCTTGTTGAGCCGATAAGCTGCGCTGTATGTGGTCAAATGTGCACAGGCTGGCAGAGTGGAGCCTAGATGTCCCCGAGCACCGTAACCGAAAAGGCTGGCCAAACAGGTGCTCTTTACGGACCTCCAGATGATCTAGACAGAGAACCTTCCACCCGATAGCTCTTGGCTAGACTTGTCTCGACCTTGATTAGTCTCTAGTGGCGCCGCGTGGCCGCACCCCCGGGTCTTGCACCGGGCCGGCGTAGAGTGACGCTGCCCTCCGGCAGGTGACGTGACGCGCGAGCGGTCCGGTAAGCACCAGGTGCTGCACGCGGGCGCGGCGCCCGTCACCGGACTGGGCTTCCGCACCTCCGGCAAGACCAGCCACCTATTTGTGGCCAGCACGCAGGAGGTCTGCTGCTACAACATCACTTTCAAGGACAAGGAAAACCAGGTGTGAGGCCCGACGGCCCCCAACCTCCCCATTGTCGTGTTGCTGCCACTGATCCTGGTCTGTTCTGCCGTCCGGGCTTTTTAAAATATGATCGGGGGTGCATCTTGCACTCGACGTAGACAAGTTGGACGTATTTCCGAAATGTGGACTCCTCAACTGTATCTAAATACGCGGTCTCTCAACTGGTCTATCGCCGACCTGTTCGCTGTACGGAAGCAGAGCTTGGAGGACCAGCGTCCACGGCTCGGGTCACTCCGTGCCCGCCGGACGCGGCGGCCGGGGAGCTGACCTTGACCGCGCGCCTGTGGCCGTCAGATCCAGCTGGACCAGGCGGGCTGCTCCCCGCGCTGCGCCGTCATGTCCGAGGGACTGGCGGAGCCGCAGTTCACCATCGGCAGGCCGGACGTGCGTACAGTCGGGCGGCGGCGCTCCCTGAGGAGTGCTGTGTCGGCTGGAACGGCCAGCGACGCTTGGATGACCGCGCCGCTCGGCCGCTCCGTAACGGCCCGCTGGATGGCCAGTCGCGTATTGGTCGGCAGCTTACAGATGCCATGGCTGTGGAGAAGCCATTGTCGATCGGTTTTGCTGATGGACTTGGTGATTATAGCGCCAGGGTTGGTACACGGCTGTGACACTCGCTGCGCCTCCCCGGTTCCAGGCTATCTACTGCTACAGCGCGAACGAGCGCGGCGCCTGTTTCGTGTTCGAGGGCGATAAGCGGCTGCTGCACTGGTTTAAAGGCTACCTGGCCGTGCTGACAGTGGAGCCGGCCCGCGGCGGCGGCTCGTGAGTACCGGAGGAGTCTGAGGGGGCCGGCTGGAGTGCAGTCCGATAGCTGCAAGGCGGTACTTTTAGAGGGGGTCGCAGCACGACGCCGTGTTTCCGTATGCATGCTATCATTTATCGTGGTGTTGAGTTGCTCCGAGTGCAGCGTGATTTAGACTGTGAGTGTATTAGTCGGAGTTGCACGGCTACAAATTATTGAGACTTGGGCTCGGAGCATCTAAACGTACAGAACAAGGCCAGCTTTCAGCTCCAGGTTGACTGAGATCGTCTTCAGAACCCTGGGTCCATGGACCGCGTTCGCCTCGGATGCTCAGTGATCCACCTGCCAAAGCCGCGCAGTACTGTGCTCGTGTCATCAACGCACCTCCATCAAGACACTCTCCCCGATGGCAGCGAACCGGCCGCGCCCGACAAGCACGTGCTGACCATCTACGACGTGAGCAATAAGTACGTGGCGCTGAGCGTGGCACTGCGTGACGTGACGCACGTGGTGAGCGACTGGGGCCAGCTGTACGTGGTAACGGCCGACCGGCGCCTGCTTCGCCTCACCGAGCGGGACACGCAGGCCAAGCTCAAGGTGCTCTTCAAAAAGAACCTCTACGACATGGCCATACGGTGAGCCCCGCGGTGTTGCGTGCCGGTCCAGTTTCAACGCCCATGCGCCACAGCTTGTGGTAGTTGTCGTGGCTACTTGGGTTGTCGGTCATGCTTGTGCAGCTGGCCTTTATGGCGCCTGTTTGTCGGGAGTGAGCGGTGGATGGCTGGGTTCGTAAGCTGTGAAATTTGTCAGACGTGTGTCACGCGCCCCCTTGGCGGTGTGGCGTGTTTGATGACTCTGTGGTGTTCGCCCAGCCCGCTGTGCGGGCGCAGCAGCCCCTGAGCCGATCTGGCGGCAGTTATGAGGGGCTCGTCCCCGTCCGTGCCGCGCTGGTGTAACCCTCCCTGCGGCGTCGCCCTGCTGCCAGCCTGGCGCAGTCCCAGCAGTACGACGCCGACGGTCTGGTGGACATCTTCCGGGAGTACGGCGACCACCTGCACGCCAAGGGCGACTTCAACGGCGCCATCCAGCAGTACATCAAGACCATCGGCAAGCTGGAGCCCTCCTACGTCATCAGAAAGGTGCCGGCTGCCGTGTCCCCCGTCGTGACATGACACGTCATGTCTGACGTCATCGCGCGCTGTTTTTTATCCGACTGAACCTGCGTGCGCATGGCATCCACGCTTTGCGCCGAGTCACGCCCGTCAAACTGTTTGGACGCGAATGGTGTCGGCCGGTTCTGACTGCGTCGGTGCGCTGACTAACGCTCACGTCTGCCTGTTGCAGTACCTGGACACCCAGCGCATCAACGACCTGGCGCTGTACCTGCAGGCACTGCACGCAGCTGGACGGGCCACCGAGGACCACACCACCCTGCTGATCAACTGTTACACCAAACTGCGCGACACCATACAGCTGGACATGTTCATACAGGTTCTGACCTCCTCCCTCGCCCCCTGCTGATCAGCCGCTACACCAAGCTGCGCAACACCATACAGCTGGACATGGGCATACAGGTTCTGACTCGTCCCTTCCCCCTCTGCTGCCAAATTTCTACAACAAATCGCGCACTACCACGTAGATGGGCCTGTTCACACCCCTGCGTGCGCGGCCTCTCGTCGGTGCAGTCGCGTTGACCCGATCGGCCGTGCCCGCACCGCGTGCGTCGCCGCACTGACCGGCGCAGCAGCCACCTCACGCCGGCGGCGTCGTGTCGGCCGGCAGGGCGAGGACGGCGCGGTGGGGTACGACGTTGACACAGCAGTGCGCGTGTGCCGGAGCTCCGGCTACTACGAGCAGGCGCTGACGATGGCCCGGCGCCACCAGCAGACGGACCGGGTCATCGCCATCCTCACCGAGGATCTGGCCGACCCGGGCCGCGCGCTGCAGTACGTCGCACAGCTGCCGCATCAGCAGGTGATTACGTGAGCCCCCATTGGGGCTGGTGGTGGGAGAAGGAGACGGGTGTTGGAGACGAATGCGGGATGGATGTGGCTGGGAGGTAGGAGCTGTTTAACTGGTTCTCGCCGCAGTGCGACCTGTGATCGGACCCGTCTCCTGACATGTCTCCTGATGTCTGTTGTCAGTGCGAGGCGGCCATCCTGCGACACGGCGCCGCTCTGCTGAAGGAGCGGCCGCAAGAGACGGTCGAGCTGCTGAAGAAGCTCTGCTGTGCCGTGAGTGGCGCGCGTGTGGCTCGTGGCTCTGACCCCAGGAGGAAGGGGGGGGGGGGACACCGATGTCCTCGTGTGAAGCGAGCCGCGCGAACGCGCTCCGGGCGTCGGTGCCGAGAGGACTCTTTGCCGCCCCGTCCCCCAGTCAAGCGCTCGCAGTCCCCCGTCTCCCGTGAGCGCCAGCGGAGCGGCGGCTGTTGTGTGGCGCCCGGTAGTCAGACGTAAGCCGTGGCTAGTTCGGCCGGCTGTCCTCTGCACGCAGTGAGCGTCGAATGGCCGCCACGGTAGCATGCGGTTCGCGCCCGAGGATCCGGTTGCCGGTTAAGCTGCCAGGCCCGGCTACTGCCCTTGCTCGGGCCGGTAATCGGGGCATGTTTTGTGTTCTTACGTGCGTCGTGATAATGCACCGGGGCCGTGCTGAAATGGCGAAGATCGTGAAATGGCTGCGTGGCGCCGCCGGGCTTCACCACCGTCACTGCCGATGCGCTGTTACCGGTAGCGAATTGTACGGGGGCAGCGATGAGTCCCGACATGTGAGCCACGGACAGTGCGCGTGCGCGCCGTCACAGCCCGGTGTTGGGCCGCAGGAGCCGCAGTCGGAGGCGGAGGCGGAGCTGGCGGTGCCCATTGAACGGTACCTGGACCTGTTCGTGGCGCAGCCAGACGCCCAGGCCGGCTTCCTCCAGCACCTGATGGAGGTCAGCGGCTCACGTGGGCGGGCGCTGGAGCAGGCTGAGGAGAGCGGGGTGGACGGAGGAGGGCGGGAGGGACGGGAGAGGGCGGCAGGGACGGAAGGGGCGGAACAGATGAACAGACGGCGGAGGACGGGAGGGACAGAGGTGGGCGGGATGGATGGAGAAGGGCGGGAGGGACAGGGGAGGGCGGGAGAGACGGACTAGGGCGGGAGGGACGGAAGAGGACGGGAGGGACAGAGGAGAGCGGGGTGGATGGAAAAGGGCGGGAGGGACAGAATAGGACAGGAGGGACAGGGGAGGGCGGGAGAGACGGACTAGGGCGGGAGGGACGGAAGAGGACGGAACGGACGGAGGAGGACGAGGCCGACAGAGGAGGGCGGGAGGGATAGAGGAGGGCGGGACCGACGGAGGAGGGCGGGAGGGACGGAAAAGGGCGGGACGGACGGAGGAGGACGGGACCGATGGAGGAGGACGAGAGGGACAGGGCAGGGCGAGATCGATGGAGGTGCGTGATGCGCTTTTGAACGGAGCATGTGCCAGACCGCTGCTGGACCGTGTGGAATACTGTCCTCAGGTATGGTCGGTGTCATGTTGTCCGTCACCCTGTGCTCCGTCGTCTTCTGCAGCTATGGTCTTGAGCTGCGTGTTTTGAAGGCTGTTTCCTGGGCGTGCGTGAGTGTGAGAGCCGCCTCGATCGGCCACCCCGCAACCGCCCTGTAACCCAGCTGTTCACCTGCGTGCTTTCCAGGTGCGGCCGGACGCGCTGGACTCGGACGCGCTATTGGCGCTGCTGGAGCTGTACCTGGCCGACGGCAGCGCCGCGGGCGACGGTGCGGTGCAGCGGACTGAGAGCGCTCTCCGCCTGCTGGACAGCCCGCGACTGGACCTGCCGCTGGCGCTGCACCTCTGCCACTCGCGCGGCTTCCAGCAGGGCACGGCCAAGCTGTACGAGCGTGCCGGCATGTGAGTGGCGACCGGCGGAGCGGCCTCAGGGAGCCGGCAAGCGTGCCCGCCGACACCGCAGAAACTGCATTCCGACGACCCGCAACGATAATAATAATACTAGTAATAGTAATAATAATGATAACAACAACGACAACAACAACAACAACAGCAACAACAATAATAATAATGATAATAATAATAATAATGATAATCATCATCATCATCGTATAATTATGCTATTTATTTATTTCTACTGTTATGGTGACGATTTTTATCATTACTAGTGTCCGTACTGTGCGGAGGAAGTGGGAGATACGCATTTGGACGTCGGGAAATGTTGCTGTTGAAGCTGCGTCCTGTGACGCCCTCCGGTCCTCTACAAAGCATGTCAATGATATTTCCCGTAGTTCTGACAACTTTGCTTTATTCAGGTTTCCTGACTTACATTCATTAAAGATGATTTGAGTTAATCTGTCTAGAAGTATGTACAAGTATGTATGTGACTGTATTGGGCCGCATGCAATTGTGCTGGGTTTGTTTTGTGTTTCCAGTATAAGGACATGCGGCTCAGTAAGCGGTTGTTTCGGAGATTGGCTTTTACGATAGGTTCAGATTATTTACGTTTTTTGTCGCATTGGATCGATGGTAGGATTAATGTTTTTTATAGTCGTGAGCTCCGTTATTTCTCATAAAGGACATGACAGCTAGCTGTTCCTGGTACTCGTGTCCGTCAACATATGGGTAATGTTTGCTCGGCCATGCTCCTGGCCAGCGCTGACCTGACCTCAGCTGACCTGACCTGACCGGCCGGGGTGCCGTCTGCAGGCACTCACAGATCCTGCAAACACAGCTAGAGGCGGGAGACTACGAGCCGGCGCTGGAGACGTGTCGCCGGTACGGCCAGACACTGCCGCACCTTTGGCTGGAGGCGCTGCGGGCGCTCACCAAGCAGCTGGAGGCGCCGGCCGGCGTCATCGTCACCGTGCTCGACACGATCGGTGGGTGGTACCCCCCTGAGGACGCGGGGACGGACCGTGCTCGGCACGATCGGTGGGTGGTGCCCCTCTGAGGACGCGAGGACGGACCGTGCTCGGCACGATCGGTGGGTGGTGCCCCTCTGAGGACGCGAGGACGGACCGTGCTGGGCACGATCGGTGGGTGGTGGCCCGCTGAGGACGCGAGGACGGACCATGCTCGACACGATCGGTGGATGGCGCCCCGCTAAGGATGCGAGGACGGACCGTGCTCGACACGGAGCGGGGGATGAATGGCCGGTGGTCTGGACAGCGATCCGAGCTGGATGGGCTGGCCAGTCATGCAGGCGAACAGGCCGGCGCGCCCCAAAGCCCATGCATGTGGAGAGGTGCGAAAATGTTTCAGACACACGAAGCCGCCGCACGCGACAGTCACTGAGTCGTGAGCTCCCCCATTGGGTGGCGTTTTTTCCATTTCTGGGGAACTCCCTGTTGCGAAATATCGAGATGGTCTTTGTAATAGTGAGGCTGCGATCATGTTCACATGGCGATCCGCACGTATTGCCGGCATCACTACAGTCGCTGTCGTGATGCTGAAAATGCTGCGAATGATAATGTAACATTGCGAGAGCATCGCATCGCTCGCCGCCAAGGGCACAATGCCAACGCACGCCTGATGCGCCTGCCGTGCAGAGAAGGGCAAGCTTGCGCCGAGTATGGAGGTGCTGGAGATGCTGGTGGAGTCTCCGACGCTGGAGCTGGGCACCATCCGCGACTACATGAGCCGCACGCTGTCCGCTGACCAGGCCGACATCGACGCCGACGCGCAGACGGCCGACAAGTACGCGGCCGAGGCCAGCCGCATCAGAGAGCAGATACACCGCGAGGAGAACAGGTGAGCCGGTGCGGATCTGGGGCGCGGCCGGGGCTGGTCCGCCGTGGAGAGGACAGGACGGGTGGGGCAGATCTGGGGCGCGGCCGGGGCTGGTCCGCCGTGGAGAGGACAGGGCGGGTGGGGCAGATCTGGGGCGCGGCCGGGGCTGGTCCACCGTGGAGAGGACAGGGCGGGTGGGGCAGATCTGGGGCGCGGCCGGGGCTGGTCCGCCATGGAGAGGACGGGGCAGGCGGAGCAGAGCTTACATGAGCAGGACGGTTGAGCTGGGCAGAGCCGACCGCCGATATCCTGGGGGAGCCTGATGTCTTGCCGATTGTGCCTCTACCTCCAAGAACTCGTTCTGTCGGGGTGGAGTGTCCTGCAGTGTGCCACGTGAGCCGCACGTTGGCTGACGGCCGGGCCCGTCCGGCAGCGCCATGGTGTTCCAGCGGACCAGCTGCGCCGCCTGCAACCAGCAGCTGGAGCTGCCGTCGGTGCACTTCTTCTGCCCGCACTCGTACCACCAGCACTGCTTCCAGAGCTACGCCGACCGCGACGACGACTGTCCGCTCTGCCTGCCCGAGCACAGCCAGCTGCTGAGCGATCTCCGCAGTCAGGTGGGGCCCGCCAGGCGGGGAGGTCCGTGCTGGGTGCGGTGAGCTGGAGGTCAGGTCAGCCCCTGGGGAGGGGGGAGGTACCGATCGCGTCGGGTGGAGACAGGACCATGTGGGGTGATAGTGCAGGAGGTGCCCGTGCTGAAGGTAGAGCTAGGACGCGGGATAGTGAACCCGACACCTTGTCTTAAACGAGACAGTAACCAACTTGTGTCATCACCGTGTGTTGCCAGCAGTGTGCTCGCATAACCGTTGTGTGTCGCCGACGCGCCGCACGCTCTGATGGCCCCGCTGCCTCCCCTCGCCAGTCGGGCGCCGAGGAGACGGAGGCGCAGTTCTTCCAGCAGCTGGAGACGGCCGACGACATGTTCAGCGTTGTGGCCGACTATTTCGGCAAGGGCACCTTCTCACGGCCGAGGCCGGAGGAGGCGGCGGCCGAGTCCGGCGCGCCAGAGCTGACGCCCGCCCCGAGTAAGTGGGAGCGGTATCGCGTGTGGAAAGCCCGCCCAGAGCGTCGCAGGCGCCCTCTGGCGAGCGTGCGGCGCTACGGCCTCCAGGAAAGGGGCGCCCCAGATAACCAGGGGCCATATGTCGTGCGCTCTGTCTTGAGAATTGAGATGTGTGGTGTGCTCTTCACTTTCGCGCGCTCTCGCGTGGTGTGTCGTGCCTCAGCTGGGGCCGGCCCATGCGGCGGCTGGGCTGCATCTGGCCTATCAAACTAACCCAGCGGGTGTCCAGCCTAACCTGTTTGACCGGGATCGCGAAAGTGCCCATTGCCTCTATGATGGGGGACCGTTTATGTCACCTGCGTCGGGCGTGTCCAGCGTGACCGTGACCCGGGTCGTGCCCTGTGCCGGCGGACGCGACGCGTGGCCTCTCGCGTGACCAGGCCGGCCCATGTCCTCGGCACTGCGGCTGTGACCTGACCGTCGCCGTGCCCCCGCAGACGGCATGAGCGCCTACCTGGCGGCGGGCGCGGCCGCCGAGCCGGTGGGCGCCGCCGCCGAGGCCCGACTGCGCCTCGCCGACCGCACCGGACCCGGCCTGCCAGGTCAGTCAGCCCCTGGGGGAGGGAGGAGGGAGGCGGACAGGTGACCTGATGCACCCTGTCAGACTCCCGACGAGACACGGGAGGCCAGTGCTATGTCGTAAGTTGTGTTCTTTTGGCCGGTAGTGCCCGGCTGATGGCTCGCCTAAGGAACCATTAACAGGAGTATTGTGATAAGGAATCTTCCCGAAGCAAACTGAGTGTCCTCCGGGTGGGCAGAGTCTGGTGCTGTGGCGCGCGCTGCCGGGCGTCCGTCCGGGGCCCCGGTTTCACCGAGGTCTGCCGTTTTCCAGCTGCGGACTCGGAGGCACGGGTCCGGGCGGCGGAGCAGCGCTCGCAGCCTACGCAATCGGTGGCTGAAGGCCGTCTGAGGGCGGCCCAAGCCAGTCAGGTGGCGCCCACTGTGGCCGAGGGACGACTCCGAGCGGCCCAAGTCAGCCAGGTGGCGCCCAGCGTCGCGGAGGGACGCCTCCGGGCGGCCCAAGCCAGCCAGGTGGTCCCCAGTGTCGCGGAGGGCCGGTTAAGGGCGGCAGAGGTCCGCCAGCCGCCGCTGAGCCGACCGACAAGCGAGGGACGGCAGAGGCTGCAGGAGGCGGCGCGGACGGCGGACGCCAAAACCAGAGCTTCCGACCGGCGTCCAGAGATGGCGCAGACGGTCAGCCGGGCGGCTGCGCCCAACCCTTTTGAAGAGGGTCCGAATCCATTTGACGAGGACGCGACGAATCCATTCCTGGACGATGAAGCTGACGCCAGCAATCCGTTCGCCGGGGATGCGGACGAATACGACAAGAGCCTGAATCCGTTCGAAGAATAACTTCAGTGTGTATGGTAACGATTGGTTATGCTGAACATGCCGCGGTATCTGCATCGTTGTGCTTAGCTACCATGCGGTTATCACGTGGCTGTTGTGCTGGCACTGCGTTGCACTACTTTCCGGTATTTTACTAGGAACCGAATCAATACCGTCGGCTAATGGCTTCAGTCAGCCACCTTCCTTTTGGCTGAGAGGGTGCAGGATGGGGAGGGGGTCGGAGCGTGCACGCGAAAGCCTGTCTTCGTTGTTGTCCTGGAATACCGCACCGGTCACGAGGGCAGCGGCGCGTGTCTGGGACGGGGTCGCTCCGGGTCCGGCCACTCATCACCCGTCGGGAGGCGCTGCCAGGGAGCGGAGGTCGTGTCGAGCGGGACGGTCGCCCTCAGCGGGCCCAGCGACGCGGCCGTGCCGGCTGATGGTCGTTAGTCTGGGGCGCATCGCTCTCCGTCAGTCCTTGGCGTTCAGAACGTGGAGAGAGCGATTTTGTTATTCTATGTATCATGCCGAGTAACGTGTTTGCTTTCTGTGTATTCACTCGTCATATGTTGGGAAATATGCTTGTTTGTAATGCGAAATACCACAAATATACGAATCGGTACCAAGATTATTAAAGAAGTAGGCTATCATACTGCGGCGGACTTGCTGCCAAGCCATGAGCCAAGCCTGCCGTGTTTGACCTGCTCAGGGTTGAGATGGCCCAATATGGTAAGTGGACGGAGCGTCATGAGGATAGCTGTCGGTCCCGTCCAGACACGCCGATAGCTAAGGCGTAGTCCCCGTCTCCTCGAACATTGTCAGCTGTGTCCTCTGGCCAGTGGAAGTGTTTTGCATTAGCAACTACAAAACTGACCCGCTGGAGGCGGCCGAGGACACAATGCACGCGCCCAGACGGGTGTCCGCTGACTGCACTGGAAACTGGACCTGCGGAGCGTGGGTTGGATCCCGACACTTGCCTCCGACGTCTGACGGGCCGGCGTGCGCCGTACCGGATGGCGGGGGGGGGGGGGGGGCGACGAGAGTGTGCACCGGCCTCTCACCAGCGGCCCCGGGCGGCCAGATGTGTCTTCGCGCTGGGCGTATGGTGTCGGTGCCAGGGAGGTGCGGCGGTGGGTCACGCGAGGGTCGGGTGGCCGGAGCGCCGCCACCTCCTCACGATCGGCGGACGCCCAGCTAGCAAGGGACCCTCGCTCACTCGATTTGCCCTCTTCTACGAGTGCGGGGGAGGCGTGCAAAGTGCCACGAATTTAGACGTGTCCGTGAGGAATGTCGCTACAGATGGACTGTGAAGCGTGGTTGCGTAACTTTCACTGAAACATGACTGCAAATGAGTGGGGTGACACCTCCAGTGGTGAAAGCTGCTTCAGGTACGTGTCTTATGTTTGTCACAAAAATGATATTGACGGTCACTTTCTAGGTCTTATGACCATCTAGTGGGCTACTAGGCCACATGAGGAAGTGTGTCCCTAAATGCACAAAACGTTATAAGCAACAACCACCACTCGAATGGTTCCGTTGTTGTATCCATCAACCTCGTCTTCTAGACTCTTGCGTGCCTCATACAATTTTCAATACTCCAAGGTAAACTGAATGCATGGTATGACAAACGGGACATACACCTCGCCCCGCGGTGGTAATTTTAATCGCCCGGTAGTCGACGTTAACAATTGGGAGGCTCGTTGCATGCCACTGGCGCAGCCAGCCTGTGTTCAGGATTTTCCCTCGGCTCTGTTTACAAAATATCGAACGGCCTCACAAGTGAAAGAGGCCGGTAACGTACTTTTGTAGCGGCGGCCCTGTAAAGAGTGGTGGCGTGTGCCACTCGCCCACACCGGTGATGGGTCGAGCACAGCCAGGGTACGCCAGATAGCTGGAAGCGGCCAGCCATCGAGGCCATAGGGTTACATAACTGGCTCACAGACCAAGCCGAGCTTTGACCAAGACCGGCGGCTGCTGGCACTGACGGTTAACGTTCGGGGTTCCCCTGGTGCTTTGGTGACGTCTCTCTCCTGTCGGTGCCGGCGCTGCCATGGCGGCGGCCGGCCGACGCACGGCCTCTCTCCTCCCGCTGCCTGCGTGGGAAGGACAGGAGAGGCTCTGTCTCGCTGTCTCCTGCCGGTGCCGGCGCTGCCGTGGCGGTGGCCAGCCGACGCACGCCCTGTCTCCTGTCGGTGTTGGCGCTGCCATGGCGGCGGCGGGCCGACGCACGGCCTCTCTCCTCCCGCCGCCTGCGTGGGAAGGACAGGGGAGGCTCTGTCTCGCTGTCTCCTGCCGGTACCGGCGCTGCCGTGGCGGCGGTCAGCCGACACACGCCCTGTCTCCTGCCGGTGCCGGCGCTGCCGTGGCGGCGGTCGGCCGACGGCCGTCCCGCAGGTGGGCTGTTTACCACCGGGAGCTGTCCGAACCGGACTGGCTAGGCGACTGCCTGGGCGATGGACTGGAGATAGTGTCCGCGTGCGGGTCGTATCCCCCTGTGATTCGACCCGGTGCGTCGGACGGTTTGAGGAGGACCTGATAAACTGCGAGGGCCTGGCATCAAGAGAGGAGCGGTTCCGTGCTGTACCACCAGCGGCCTGACCAAGCCGCGGCGAGCGCCACCTGAGCGGGGTTGAAGCGCTGCCACCTCGCCGCCGTCCCGTCGGCGGACAGGACGGGCGGTGGACCGCTGACGCGAACAAGGCGGCTTTTGCGGCGGTACAGACGTCCAACTAGACACTGCTTTCATTAATGTCAGTTGAGAACAACCTTAGTCTGTTTGCATGGTGTCATGCAAGTTAGTTCCGTCACGCAGTGCCCGTTGGCTGATGTTTTAGCCCTGATGCACGACAGGCCCTGCGCCAGCGGAAGCTGAAGATGAGCGGATGTCTCCAGCTCCTTGCCTCCCGACCGAATGGAGCTATAGAAAAAAATGAAGGCCGGCGAATGGTCGGTGCTATTCTATAAAACAATATTTCGAGTTTGTCTCTAACCTGCTCACAGGCAAACCTCAAAGCCAGCTTTTTCATACACTTAAATGGTAAATGTCAAGTGGTTAGACGGTAAACTCTGGGAAATCTGCACGGGGCTCAAACCGTCTACCTTAATTCTATATCATATTTGTTTTAGAAATATGCACAACAGAACTAATATTATTCTTTAAAATATGACTTCTGGCACGATGAATTTTCTTGCCAGCGTGCGTTGTCAGTAGCATGTAGTGTCCACACGTGGTTTTGAAGCCGCCTTTGTTTGTAATTTCTGGTATATTATATAGCCTAATACCAAATGTCGTCACAGTTGGAGGTACCCGCCCCACAGCCCCGTGTGATCTTAAGTGGCAATTATTTCCCATGGTTTACTTATTTGTTTCACGCCTTTGCATACGCAGTTGTTTGCGCTGGCCAGCGGTTTGAAACAAAGCGAAAATATCGTCAATAACCTCATTTCGCATCGTCATCATGGCACCAAGTCATTGACCTGACATGACATAAACCTTAAAGTTCCAGGGTTTGTCAGGAACGATATTCGTGGGGTGACGCGAATTGAACAAGGACGACAAGGTTCATTCTGCAGCTATGCCGAAAAGTGCCTTGGGACGGATGCGTGCTCTGACATCGCGAGTGTCTGAATGCTCCTATCTGGATATACACCTTTATGAGCTGAGCTTTGCATTGACTCCTTTCAGATGCCTCTGACCTAAGTCATTGCCTCCAAAAGCTCACTGCGTTAGTCTGCGTTGCACATTTTTTGCGTAACAAGTCGGAAATTCTTGCAACATTTTAATATTCGCTGGGAGGTGCCATGTGTGCAATTCTTGGGCATTCGTGACGTAAATAAATGCTTAGTTTCAAAATGCAGGAGTCGCATGGTTCCTCCGCGTCATTAGTATCGAATAACCTGAAGTTTATCGCACGTATATGTTGGATTTTTCTCTGCGGTATATGCAATAGACGGAAGTAACAAACATACCACTGTATGTTAATTTATTTATAAAGCGATATGTACGTTACACGTAACAACGAGTGAACAAATACTTATTATCAATGGCGTGTAAAAGAAACACTTGGACCCCACAATCACTTAAGTTGCCCAACCGCAACACGCTTACACAGCGGGGCTCAACGCAATCGCTCATTTTATCCCAACATAGGTACTAAGAGTTACGTAACACATCGGGCCACGTAGCTTAACATGAACACTCACTGCGATCTGGGCTGTACCCAGTTCACAGGTTCCAAAGTGCCGTCAGCACACGGGCCTGGGTAACAGCTAAGTCCTGACGCATAACGTGCCTGCATCTCCCCACCTCTGCCCTGCCGCCGACGCGTCTTCTGGCGCCGTCCGGCTCCCGCCTCGCGCTGCAGGCCACGCACCTTGCGCGAGAGGCACATCACCGACGCACACTGCAGTCAAGTCCCGGCAGCCGCACGGCCACGGGCAGACCTCCCGCGGGCCTCACTCCGCGCACGCGTTCGCTTGCCCGCTGCGGCCGCACTCGGTGGCAGGAGCCCCACCTCGGGCCGCGCCGGGGCTCGTCCCGCGCCGGGGCGCCTCAGATCTCGGGCCGCGCCGGCTCGAGCGACGTCACGCGCAGCGGCCCGTCCTCGCGGATGACGCCGTCGGGCGAGCCTTGCTCACCGGCGAACGACTCGACGTTCTCGAACCGGCTGCCGAGCCCGCCCGGCGCCGCGCCCGAGCCCTCCGGCTCGGCGGCGCCGGCCTGCGCCGCCCGCTGGCGCAGCTCGTCCGCGCTGATGAACGGGAACGACTCGAGGAAGAGTACGTTGCCAAGGTTGTAGACGTGCTCCTGCCGCGGCAGCAGGCGTGCGCCGTTGATGAAGGTCTCGCCTGGAGCAGTCGGAGCGTTAGCTCGGGCTTACCGTTGGCTACGGACTACCGCGACCGCAAAGCGTGATCGGCGCTTTCCAGCACGTCAAGCTAAGCTAGGAGTTTAAGGCATTAGTCATTTATAATTTGAATTGGTGTCTTAAGCAAATGACTATGTATAACACCTTTCAACAGGACAACGAAGGAGACATGTGACAAAGACTGTCAGTAAGACATGGTGCTCTTTTCTACCTCGAAGCAATTTGCTCTGCTTCCCCAACCTAATCTTTACCAGCAAATTATAAGAAGATCCCCTAACCGCATCGCATGCATGCTAGCCGGAGCCGTCCAGCCAAGTCAGCCAACACGGCTGTGTGTGACGCACCAGGCGCCGAGCGGCCCGACCGCCCGGTGTCCGGCACTTACCGTCCTTGACCTGGACCTTCATCGTCTGCCCGCCGAGTGTCTGGGTGGTGAAGCCGTCGCGCAGGTCGTGCTGGTACAGCCGCTCGGGGACGAGGTGCGACAGCAGCAGCTGGTCGCGCAGTGCCGAATCGGCCAGCAGCGGGTCCCCGCCGGCCGCACCCAGCGCCGCCGCCACGGCGCTGTCGTCCAGCGCCAGGAACGTGTACTTGTCTGCGGCGCGCGGCAGGGACGGGAGTCAGCGGCACAGCGGCGCAGCGGCACAACGGCACAGCGGCGAAGCGGCACAGCGGCACAGCGGCGCAGCGGCACAGCGGCACAGCGGCACAGCGGACAGCGGCGCAGCGGCACAGCGGTCGTACGCAGCGAGTATTTGCTGCTGGGCGGTGACAGATACCGCCAAGTGAGGGGGTAGCAGGGCACGCGATGCGGCTCTAGGGTCAGCGATGACAAAGGACGCACAAAAACAAGCGATCAGGTGACGCCCTGACGTCAAGCGGCATCACTCCCTCAGGTGACCAGAAAAAGCAGCGTAGTATCGTGCGACTGATCCATGCATCTACACCACACAAATGCCAATACAATTTCATCAGTGTGGTCGCCCCACCGCAAATAAAATCAGTTATCGATCCTGATTCAACCCGACCACCAAATCGGCCCACCGGCAGCCGGGCCTCGAATTGCCAGTCACGCAACGTCTACTGGCGCGTGTACACCGGGCGGGCCCGGTCAAGGCCAGGCTCTGGGAGATGCGAAAGGTCGTCGCGTCACGTCGGCGCCGGGACGGCAGGCGTCAAGCAGCCCCGGGGATTGGGGCTAAGCTGGAGGTCACGCGGCGGTCGGACGGGGCGGCAGACGGCGGGTCACGAACGCCGGACGAACTACTTTTGCCGGCCGAAAACACTGACCGGAGACACGGGCGATAACGGAAAAAACGGACCGGTTTGATCCACAGGTTTCCTTGCTGCTAAGAATGCGCACCCAACTCACCTTTCATGAATGTACACATGAGAAAATCATGCTAAACGTTCTTACACAGCCGTGTGTTAGTGCAGTAATGCTATACGACGTGGCGCCATTTACACCAATCATGTGTGCTTTCTATCAAAGAAATAGATAAACATTTCTGGTGTGCCACAGCAAAAACCAGAGGTGTTCAACAGGCTAACACATCGAGGTGCTTACAGTCATTCGAGACGCTTGTTACAATGTCGTCGAAGCTCCGGTACAGGTAGTCAATGAACTTGTTGAAGGTGGCATCACTTCCTGAGTTTTCTCGGTGCGTCAGTTCTCCGATCAGATGCGCCAGAAAGAGTGCCTCTCCGGCCACTCCTGCGGAGAACAGTGAGTCAGAGCACTGCATATTCGGGAATGTCGTAAGCAGCGCGCCCGTATTCCAGCGGGAGAAGTCCTTAAGACGTCCTGTTGGGCTGGAACAGAGGACCAAAATCCAAACAACGCGTGTATCTTTCCGTAGATCACCACGCCCGAGGCCCACGCTATGTACGTAGCTCTATAGATCCCTCAAGTTTCAAGCACCTCTGTGATAAAACTTCACGTGCATCAGGCTCTGAAAAACGCTGAACCTTTCCCTCCCAGGGACTACGCAGCAGGAAGAGGGGGCGGAGGGTAGTTGCATCTCTATCCGCCGGCAAGGGAGAGGAAGAAGGGCATGTTTTTCCCCGTTAATTTTGGGGAGGCTCCTTTTTCCAAAACCAAGGGCATTGCAGCTACGCGCAGATTACGAATATTCAGATAAAAGCGAACCTCTTAACTGAGCTAAGGAGTAATAAATCGGGCCCAGAACACGCTTTGCTGCATCAAGAGTTTTCCCAGGGGCCCCTTTGCTCGCTCGGGAGGCATCCGTTACGACCTAGGGGTCCCTGTTCTGAACTAGGCGCCACCCTCCATATGCAGGAGGCCCCTTTTATGCATCAGATAGCTGCAGGTCTGTATCAGGATGCCCCGTATTGGGATAACACGGCCCTTGGCTGGATTTTGGGCCCCTTCGCGAATCGGAAGCATACTGTTCTGGATAAGCGGGTACCTCCATGCATCAGGAGGCCCTTTCTGGGGCAGATGTGCCTGTTTTAGGGCAGCGAAACCCTATGCTGGCCAATAAGAGGGTCCTCATTCTGAATTTTTAGTTGTCCATATTTGTTTTTGCCTGGATATGATACATGTACCAATCTGACAAGAAGGCACATGTCCTCGGCGCCCCTCCCCCTTGAATCCGACACTGCCCAGCAGCCCCCCTCCCCCTCCTCTGAAAAAGCCCCATTTTGTCCAGGAGGCCCCCTGGAAAATCCCGTCTGCTCCCAACTCCAAATCCGTGGAGCCGCCCCTGTCCCTGCCCACCAAAGCACGTGCAAACGCACACGCACTCACGCACGCACGCACCACTGCCTTGCCACCTACCGGCCACCAGGGGCGCAGTCTCCTTGTCTCTGTGCTGCAGCCGCAGTTCGGCGACCACGTCATAGTCGACGAAGAGCAGCTCATCCAGGAAGAGGATGTTGCCGTGCGAGATGGGCGTGTCGCCCAGGAACAGCGGGTTGCCATTCACCAGGATGTTTTCTGCGGGCGATGTGGGGCGAGCCTGCAGTCAGCTGTCGTGTCGCTCTGAGACGGAATGATCAGCGGAACAGAACAAAGGCAGAAGTGCTAATTAGGACAGTTTTCGCGGTAACAGGACAGGGTATATAACGCGCAAGACATCAGATCGAAGGGCACGGGAAAATCCCGAGAGGGCTTAATTACGGTTGGTATCCAAGACACATGGGAGTAAACGATGCGTTGCGAGACTAAACGTAAGCGTTGCCAGTAGTGATGCGTTTCTCACGCATTTCACAGGCACGCGAAACGTATCCATTCCTTGGCTATTTGGTTGGTGCCCTGATCTAGTCAAAAACCGCAAACCAGCAAGGCATAAGGTAAGATTTTCCAAGACGGATACGTTCAGTTAAAAACTGAGGCCGTATGGGAGAGAACAGTGCTATGTACTTTTGCGGTGCCTGCGTGACATATGACGGAAACCCCCAAAACAGCAAAGTATTACTACGGATTTCATCACAGAATCTGCGTCGCAAAACGTCCGTAAATACCCAAAGCAAACTTTCCAGCCAAGCATGGTTAAAAAAACGTGATCAGGCGCAGGTGGAGGGCTTCCCGTGGTCCCTGAGTTTCCCATGGACTTGTTCGATATCAACACTGTTATGCGACCATCACGGACCTGGACATTTGGCACGCGCTACGAGAGAGGGCGCCCGTAGTCTCAACCGCATCAGATACGACGCCTTAAGCTCCCACTAAGACGAGGTCTCAAGCTTGACAGCTTTGTCTGACTCTGCCAAATTTTCGCCAGACGAAGCTTTCCAAATGCGCTAGGAGCCAGGAACTGGCCCCTAAGACATTCGGGTAGCCACTGAGCTTAAGTGATCAGTTGATATGCGAATGGGGAAATTAACTAGCCTTACAGCCCACCATGCGAACCTGAACAGAAGAGGATTGCCTACAAACAGCGTGGGTTATACAGCGGGAAGTACGCAAAGCAACCGCGTTTAATGCGTCTGAGCAGCATACAGCAGAATCTGTGGGAGCTCACGGGTGAGATAATTGCTCGGACTATCCATCTTGTCCGGTGTGTTAGTATGCATTTCACGGTTTGGCCAGTTGGTTCTTTGGCCGTCGTCGGCTGTTATTGAGTCCTGAGAAAGACTGTATGGTCTTTGTTTTCAGTCATGCATGTAAGCGTCACAACCTGCATTTTTGCATTCTTGCCTTGTAATCGCTGGCATTCGAGTCGGGGTTTTCTGATTGTGATTCCGGTGCCTTACCGATTGAGCTAACTGTGAAGGATTAAGTGGTATAGCTCAGATAGGTAGCTCAGCTGGTAGAGCGCTGTGCTGCCAATCAGAAGACCCCGATTTGAATCCAACCAATCTCATGGAGATAATTCGCATTGTGACGCATACATATCGCATTCGTTTTTTAGTTGGACAATGCGTGTGCCATCAATAAGTTTTCAATGTCACAATATTTCACGTTTGCTACAGCCGGTGACATGCGCGTCACAGGCTCACAAGAGTCTGAGAGTCACAGACTCACAATTACGACGTTAGGTCTGTCCTAGCGCGGATACTCTGACTTACCTGGGACTTTTTTGAACTTAAGCTCCTTGCCGCCCATGGTCTTGATCCTGAGTCCATCCTTGATATCCTTGCTGGTGAGCTTTCCCGGCGCAAAGTGGTTCATAATCGTTTCTCGGGTAAACTCCTTGACCAGGAAGGGGTTGAAGCCCCAGTCGATCGGGTAAAACCTCTGGAACGCTTCGTTTACTGGGAGGAAGAGCGTGTACTCCTTGTCTGTGAAATACAACAAGAAGATCTTCAAACTGTGAGCATGAATCTCGATAATACACCGACAGACAACTTGATAAATGTGTGGTGGCTATCACATCTCCGCTAAATACCGATTGCCAAAGGCACCAGATCACCAGCGTGTCTACCAATGTTCCAAACGATTCCGCGATTGTTTTCTGGCAGAACTTCTTTTAATCCCTGAAGCTGCTTCCTTGGAAACGAGCTCCAGGCCAACACTTCATGTGGCCTCTAGCCCTCAGGCACAAATGCTGAACAACTCCGCCGTGCCTTGAAAGGTCTCTGTACGCGGGCACCCGCCATTTGATCCCTGTGGGCATTTGGCCTTGTAGAATACGCCAGCTAAGGCACAAGGTCTTCGTCAAGGCTTCAGTGATATTTTTGTTCTCCAAGCGTTAGCCTTTGTCAACCGGGCTACGATGGCGAAACGGCCTCGGGGAACGGGCTCGGCTGTCAACAGCGCATTACAAAGTTGTTTCAACTCATTGCTTCTTAAAATAAAAAAATGTTTTTGATATCTACAAAAACAAAAGGTGAAGCTTAAACATATAGTATATCTTCATGACAAGAATCGCATGTGATTGTGATTCCTTCTTCTCCACTAGCACGCCAGTCGAGCGCCTTAAACGGTAAGTCAAGCAGGTGATGCGCTCGCGCTTTACTCGAACCGCGTGCGAAATCCGAGACATCCCCGTGGTGGCTGACCTTTGCTGAACATGGAGGTGATGTTGGCGTCGTAGAAGTAGCCCTGGAACTCGCCGACACCGGAGCGGAGCAGACTGAGCGCGTCCTCCACAGCCTCGACGAAGCTGTCTTTGCCGACGGCTGGGATCTTCACCCGCTGGTTGTTGGTGGCGAACTCGTGGCCGACCGGGTCGACCGCGTGAGCCACCGCCAGCCCCGGCTCCGGGTCCGACAGCTCGCCTACCTCATTCAGCAGCGGCAGCGAGGCCGTCTCACTGGCGGTGAGGTCACCCGGCTCAGTGTCGCCGCTGCCATCTATCGGTGACTCAGCAACGTCCGGTTCGGCAGACGGCCGCAGGGTGTCCGGCAGCGGGATGTAGTCGGCGGTGCGTACGATGCTGGCGTTGGTGATCTCCAAGATGTCGCCGATGATCTCGATTTTGTTTACATAGAGACGCCCTGAGGAAAAAAGGAGACGCTGTCACAGAGAAAGACACTTAAGGGAGTGATGAGACTGTTTGATCGCTGCGGAGAGGACCCGCACGGATGCACTTGCAAACAGTGCTGGTGGAAAGATGCTGTGTCCAAACACGACCCAACAGGGCATGAAAACAATATATTCAGCAAAGGCGATCATACATTATCATGTAGATCAGTCATACGCGAATGCCCACTGCACAAAACGTTTGATGTTTAAAAGCAAGGGTGTACATCGCAAAGGTTATCAACGCAGCCTGCCCGGGATGCACACGATTCAGCGGTTTAGAACCTTCGATTATGGACAAGAACTGAACGTTGCTCATCTCAGATTTCTCGTACACGCTTGGATGAAACCAAGCATTGGGATATCTTTACGATTTTTACGCGATGTGATCATTATTTGTCGATTACGCAAGCGAAGTCATAAAGTGGAAGGACGGCCCGCAGTCCCAGCTGCCCGGGAAGAGCGCAGGACGGACGCCCAAGCCGCCGCCGGATATGGACGGCACTCGGCTGCGTCGGCGAGCTTCACCGAGCGTGCCGCCACTGTCAGCGGGCGTGCCGCCACTGTCAGCAGGCGTGCCGCCACTGTCGGCAGGCGTGCCGCCACTGTCAGCAGGCGTGCCGCCACTGTCGGCGGGCGTGCCGCCACTGTCGGCGGGCGTGCGCTGACCGCTGACGGGACACCAGCTCAGGCCGGACCCAGGCGGACAGAGCCGGGTGCCGCCGCCTCGGCTGGTAACCCACCTTACCCATGCGCCCGTTGACGGCGGGGCCTGACAGACACTGACTGGCTGGCCGAGCTGGTCGCTGTTCGCGTGAGGGAGTCAACGGACTGGAGGTCCTGACTGGGGCGATATGTTCAATGGAGACAATGGATTCGGTGGGCGATTAAATAACTCAGTTCATTCGTTATCGCAGACGCTTGATCTGTGCATGTTCTGCGGTAGGCTCGATGACAGCTTGATATGCACCAAGAATCCAGATCTCAGCTGAACTATGCAGATGTCATATTTGCTGTCTACCAATATCAGGCGATTTATTACCTGAACAACCCGTTTGTCCGTGAAAGTGAGCGAGAGAGCTCGGGTCGACGTGATCAAACATAGCATTAGTGAAGTACCGGACCACTCGACATACACCGTCGGTGTTTCATAGAAAAATTGTGTACAGATAATCTAACGGTGGCTTATCACTATTTGCCCAACGGATTTAAACGGTGGATTTAGATAAATGATTTGCTGATTCATCTTATAAGTGAACAAGGCATTTCCAACTTTATTTCGACATCGGACTTCCAATAGGTCTGCTGAAATTTCACGGGAGGTTTGGTACGAGTTAATGGCTATCACGGGGCAGTATGAGATAACGGATAAGGCTATTTCTCAGAAGTTTTTCTCTTCGCCGGAACGATTTCCGTCCACGATTATCTTCCAGTCGCATGAAGCTGGAACAACCGCCATCGGGGGTCTTACATTAGCCTCATGCTTTTCACGGGTTAGCTACTCTTTTCCGCTTGGAGTGCCACCCGTTCTAGTGGGCTGGCTACCATTCCTATCAATGCCGCTATCGTCCGGCACTCAACCGGGGCGTTCCGCGGCGTTTTTGCCGCACGCGAGCACGGCTGCCGCGTGTCTGTGAAAATGGCGAGCCGCAGCCTTGAGGCGCGGCGCCGGTGGCGGCGGGGCGGGACCAAGCCGGGGCCGGGGCTGGGGCTAGCACCGGCCTTCGACGCCGGCGCCGCTCTTCAGACGGCCTCGTGCCACAGGTCCGCGGACGACGACTACCACTGAGACGATGGCAGCCCTCACGCGCTATGCCGCGAGCGCACTGCTGTTGCAGAGCCATCACTCCCCGGCCGGGCGCGGCGTTGCAACGACACCAGGCAGTGGGGGTCGAGGCGCCGTGAGTAAGCCCATCAGAAAACAGCACCGGTGCGCCACGTCCAGCGCGTCTTCGATGCGTCATCGTTATCTATGTCGCTGGCTGCTTAGGATGCACGTCCGCTAAATAGCAAGGGTGATCTGCCTTCGTTTGCAAGCCCAGCCACAGGGGCTTCAAGTCCTGCCGCCGACGGACGCTGCCGTCTGTGAATGGCAGGCTCGGTCAGCTGGCCAGGACCAAGCGGTCCGCGTCACATCCGGACACTCCGTACACAGAGAAGTGTCCGGACGTGCTCCTCGTCGCCGTTCTGGTGGGGTGTTGGATCGCCACTGCAGCGGCCGTCCAGGGTCGACCGTTTCAGTCCGCAACTAAAACCCATCCGCAGCCCTTGACTGACAGACCGCCACAGCTCTCGACTGTCAGACAGCTGCAGTCCTCGACTGACAGACAGCTGCAGCCATCGACCGACAGACCGCCACAGCTCTCGACTGTCAGACAGCTGCATTCATCGACTGACAGACAGCTGCAGCCCTCGACTGACAGACAGCTGCAGCCCTCGACTGGCAGACAGCTGCAGTCCTCGACTGACAAACGGCTGCAGTTCTCCACTCACAGACAGCTGCAGTCCTCGACTGACAGAATGCCGTAGTTCTCGACAGCTACAGTTCTCTGCTGTTGACAGTTGACAGACAGCTACAGTTCTCTACTGACAGCTGCGGTCCTCGACTGACAGAATGCTGTAGTTCTCGACTGACAGACAGCTGTAGTTATCGACTGACAAATGGCTATAGTCCTCGACTAACAGACAGCTTCAGTCCACGACCAACAGGCGGCCGCCGTCCAGGACTGACAGACCGTTTTAGTACTCGGCTGACAGACGGCCTCGGGCCGGCTGGAAGTTCGTGACGGTCTCGGTCCAGAGCGTCCAGACGCCTCCCCGGACCACGGCGCGTCCGTTCCCGGACGAGACCTGACACTGCCCCGGCTGAAAACTTGCGACTATCTCGAATCAGTCACGGTCTCTGCCGGTCGCAGCTGACGCGGCCAGCGACCGTCCACCACGAGCCGTTACCATGGCGTCGGGTCAAGGGCGATGCCAAGGTTATCAGCGGCCACCTCTCCATGGAATGGCACTTACGGTCATGAGCCCGCACCGCCGGTGGCAAAGGCATGAGGTATGAATCAACCGAGATATCTGTGCGTCCACACTATAGCCGCCTAGCTGGCGCACGTCAACGAACGTGCAGTTCGCACAGTTTTGGTATAAGACGTGGTCGCCTGCTAACACCCGACGCGGCTGATCTATAACTAGCGCTCCAATACCGTGCCTAATCATGACCGCATTGTTAAATAAGTTATAGCTGTCTTAGCGGAGAGCATGTTAGGTCAGCAGAAGCAGCCTGGCGGCAGGAAGCCAAGCTCTGCATTGGTAGCGATTTCACCAGAAAACATGATCCCTTCTTTTAAACACAATCCAGTTACATTCGGGAATCACGCTGAGCCGCCGGTTTCACACCTGGTAGGTACGCTTCACATATGCCCAATTTGGATCTAATCAGGGACGTAGGAATATTAAGCCTGCTCATTCACTTATCGTGAGTTTTACATTGGCCCTTAAACGATGTATCAAAAGCACGGACTTTAAACAGGAGACTCGTTCCATGGACTCACCCACTTTCGGAATTCCCACGCTTCTGGGGTTGAAGAGCCCTCCACGGGTTCTAAGCCCCATTGCACGCCAAGGTATTGAGCCAAAGCTAGTGCTACGCCAGCTTCGGCTAAAATTCAAAGAATTGGCCATATCAAGCCACGTTTCCTATTACAAAATTTCGTCAGCACGTTGATTATCGTGCAGATTGATCCCGTAAAGCCTGATTCCGATGTCTGAAAATTCCAGCTCTGGATGACCTGGGAACGCCCTCTCAAATGCTTCCTTAATCTGGAGGCACTCAGCCGTCATGGCACGAGGCACGATTTGAGGCACATTGGTGCCGTTCCGAAAACGAACGCTTCTGGTATCAGCTGTTTGCACATCATTCATCCGCAGCCAACAGAGATGGCCCATATCGGTGCCATCCTGCTTTGGGATATGGTTTTCTACGAACTCGTGCCTTTAATAGGTCACTAGCACATCTGCAGTTGTCTTCTCTCGCTTGCGGCTTGTTGCAAGTAGAGCTATATTCCCTACAGCGGGCCACATAATCCTCCAAGATGGTAAAGCTCCTCACACTCACCCACACAGTGGGAATCACACCAGCGCTGACAGTTTCTGACTACCGCCGTACAGGTGTCTTCGACTTTACCATTCTACGAATGTGCATGACACACTCAGCCCCCCCCCCCTTATCTTATCAAAGTCCGGGGGGAGGGGGGGAAGTGAAGGTAGCGACGGTCCCATACACCAGAGCCAGCCGGTGGCCCCGGGGGCGTGCGGCTCGCGCCGGCAGAGGCCGCTGACTCATCTGAAGGCGCCACGGCGTGTTCTGCTAAGGCCGGCGCGTGCACAGCCGGCCCGGCCCAGGTGCGGCACACGGGAGCGGCGCGAGCCGTGAGTCAGACGGCCCGGGTGGCTCTGCCAACGGGACCCACCGCGCGTGCCCCGACTTCCGACGGTGGCTGAGGCGACGCGGCTAAGGCGGCAGGCGGCGCCGACGAACCCGGCCGGGGTCCTGCCGTCGGCTTAATGTGGGCACCGCTGAACACGAATTTGATGGTTGCGATATGGCCGGAGTCCATTGTCATCACTTTCACAACTGGAGGTGTACCGATGGGACTGCTGGCCGTTTAACACTGATTAATTCAGCCAACCAAGTCCTGTGGAGAAGACATGATGCACCTCGGCCCGCTGATGGCTTGCTCGTGCATAATGCAATTAAATAGCACTAGTGGTAACGTAGCAGACAGCTTTTAGAGTACGATACGTTGCGCCAGGAGTCATTTTGAGGCCCGCAACTATTAGAAATGCCGGCTTCCGCTTGTATCTCAGCCAAACGCAACTCACTGCGCCAACAAATGACGCGTCGTGTTCTGCGTGCAGCCAATGTGTAGACGACGATGAGTATTTCGTAGCATCGATCGACACCGGTGGTAACCATGACACTCCCTGGACAGAAAACAACGCCCCGATCCTGGAAAATACCGCCTTCGTTCGCACTATCATGTTGAAAAATGGAGACTGTTGCTTTCGAGCTCGTTGGAACTGTCCAAGGCCGCAGTGCCACCCTGATGGTTGAGGAGTTTAAACCAAAGGGGCTGTTAGTGGCGCAGTAGCAGACGGGGACGAACCGGCTGAGGAACATCGCAAACGGTGCTTCAATGTAAAATATCGCAACTGCGGTCAGATAGTGCACATGCATTTTTTCCAATGCTTTGCTTTTGTTGTGCGGATCTATAAAATCCGATGCTAAAAATCGAGTGCTAACGACATGCCTGGCCATGGCTTCCGCTGTAGTTGGTGGGGTCCTGGCCGCCGTAACCTTTAGGCAGATGGGATCATTTCATTTGGAGCACAAGTCTAGCGACAAAACGAAAGAGGACCCCAATACAATTTGAGGTGTATTTATGCCCATAGCATTCGTAGGCACGGGAAACATGCCGACGTTGGGAAAGCGTCGAGAGGGGGGGGGGGTAGCAAGTCTATGGAGACAAACTAGCCCATACCTAAAATAAAACTTCCCTTGGATTTCGAGAAGTTCTTTTCTATATTTGAGACCCTTGGCCGATAAATTCAGCTCAACATCTTGTTTTAAGCATTTAAACTTCCACATCGGTACCGTTCACGAGAAGCTCAGGAGTTCAGGGTCTGACATGCGTTCCCTGCTCCTCCGCCCATAAGGTTACCGTCTCCTTCCGCTTTCTCCGCCAGGCCCCGATGTTTCCGCGGCTATTCGATGTACTAAGTGGAGCGCAAACTGACTACGCTGACTGACCGCACCAGACTGACTGCACCCGACTTACTGCACTAAACTGACGACCGCACCCGACTGACTGCACCCGACTGACCGCATCCAACTGACCGCACCCGACTGACTGCACCCGACGGACCGCATCCGACTGACCGCACCAGGCTGACCGCACCCGACTGACTGCACCCGACGGACCGCATCCGACTGACTGCACCCGACTGACCGCATCCAACTGACCGCACCCGACTGACTGCACCCGACTGACCGCATCCGACTGACCGTACCAGGCTGACCGCACCAGACTGACTGCACCCGACGGACCGCACCCGAGTGGCCCTTAGAGGAGTACACAACGTAGTCGAGCCTGGGCGATGTTGTGTGACGGCACGGATCAAGCTTACGGGCTCGACGCAACACAGCAGCGCTTACTCGCCCGCCACCCGTGAGCCCTCGCCGCCAAACTGCGTGTGTTACGTAAGTCCAAGACCCGCGGCAGCGACCACAACAGTGGATGAGTGTGTCCTTTGTCGACCGGCCGCCTCGGCGCCCACTATCGCGCGGGCCCCCGACGGCTTCCAGGAGCCGCGCGCGGCGGCGCGGCCCGCGTGTGACGAAGTGCCTGGCGGCGTCGCCGCCCCGGCCGCCGATTTCCAGGAGTCGGCCGACGGCGCCGCAACAGACGCCGTCCGTCTGAGTCACGCGCGGTGAGGCGGCGTGACGGCGGCGTGAGGCGGCGTGACGGGTATGGCGGGCTGTGGGGGCGTCGCAGGGCGACCGTGCGGAACAGCGCGGTCCGCTATAGCCGGGGGCGCTGGAGCTTCGCAGCGGCTGCAGATGTCCTCGCTGCCGCACTGGCTTCCGTTTTTTTTAGGCGAGTTTGCGACTCACGAATGCATTCTAAGTTCTATGCGCCTTGTCCGGCTGCACGCTATGGCGGTGACTTCATGCAACGTTTGTGAGGAATGCCGCTTCGGAGTCGATAAGGGAGTCAGTCATTTTTCACTGTAGACCACGCCCACCCAGTGGCGTGTCACGAGGACGGTACCTGTCCACTGCGGACACGCCTCGTATAATGGCCCAGCCGCCACCGCCGCACGCCACGTCAAGCACGTCCACCATGGGAGGGCGTGCTTGGCGTGGCGTCGGCAGGCGTTTGGCCACGCGTCCCACACACGGGGCCGGACCTCCGGTAACCGGCGTTTTGTGTAACGAGACGACAGGTGTCCAGCGGCGTGCCTGGCTACCGAGGAGTTTCTGTGGCGTGCCCGTCCGGATGGTGTAAGCGTTTGCGACGAACCTGCTCGGGTCGACAAAGAGATCTTGTGACGTACCTGCCCGGTCGGCAAAGAGATCTTGTGACGTACCTGCCCTGTCGACAGAGATCTTGTGACGTACCTGCCCGGTCGGCAAAGAGATCTTGTGACGTACCTGCCCTGTCGGCAGAGATCTTGTGACGTACCTCCCCGGTCGGCGACAAGATCTGGCGACTTACCTGCCCGGCCGGCGACAAGATCTTGTGACGTACCTGCCCGGCTGGTGAAGACGGCCGTTGTGCCGAGCAGCGTGTTCAGCTTGAGCTGGCTACCCTCCTTCAGCTGCTTCAGGCGTTCCTCAGTCACCACCTCGCCCAGGATGATGTGGTTTCGAAGCACGTTGACGATGTGGTCGCGGCCGGAGAAGCCAGGCGTCAGCTTGACGCGATCGAACGCCTCGTTGCTCGGGGCCAGCACGGTGTAGGCCTCCTCTGAAATGACGCGGCCTTGTCACACCATGGTCAAACGACCCCGCTCTGACCGTCGTGTCGTCTCACGGTCATGGCCTTGTTCGGACCGTGTTGTCCTGCAGACATCACAGCTTTGGTCGGAATGCTCACATTCCACAAACGGCTACGTATCTATGATTGTTTAATCTACTGATGGTACTGCCGTAATTGGTGTCCGTCATGACACGCAGCATACACCCAATATTGTTGTACACTGCTATTCCATTGGAGGCATCAGGCAGCTGTGACCCCGTTCCCACGTAGCCTTATTAATAAACATGTCATGATCGCGAACAGTAAGCAGACTGTAAGAGCTGTTGTTTGTGCAGCAAAACATTCCCGGCAACGCTGGGCTGCTTCTCAAATAATTTTGCCTTCATCAGCGCTTCAAAGCAATTCATAATTTCGGCGGTACGCCGTCTTTACGACATTTGATGACGGTTACATCGCGCCGAACAGGTTTCCCTTTCTCGTGCGTGGTGAAACCGAAAGGCAACGATTGCGCAAGGCAAGTTGAAAATTGCTCAAAGCGTGACGCTATTTAATAACATGCTCCACGTGCATGACCTCTAGTACGTGTTCCCGTACTGCCGGTTAGTTTTAGGAATGATGGTGATTGTGCTCACACTGAATGAACGCACATGAACAGAAGATTGTGCGGAAGCGGTACGCCGTTTTCCATGGCGCCCTGAGTATGAACAGGCCGCCTTATTTCACGGGGTGTTATCCCGCTCGTGCGCGGCTGACAGAGACCCGCGATCATAACCTGCCGTGCACTTGCAGCCCTCGCCCGACAGCCAGATACGGCACCTCGGAATCACTCCTGGGTCATCTAGCGTCATTCATAAGGGTTGTCACGCATGACATGACCACATCGCTTCAGAGAAATTAGACCTCGGGCTTTAAGTATATGATCAATTTCGCAGCCACCTACCCCTTTACAACAACGTGCGAAGATCCTCGTGGATCTCTTGACAAGCCGCCTTTCAGGATGTATTTGACTGCACTAGTGTCCAGCAATCTATATGCCCGTGCAAACGATGATGAGGAAATGCATCTGCTTACCCCCGCACCAGCTCACATGACACGATCTATTGCCGAAATACCGGATAGGATCTTAGAGCCACCTCGATACTTTATGAACCGAACGCACTTCAAGGGCTTTCGTTCGACGGTTGCAATCACCAGGTTTAAAAGCATGACCTTTGGTTAGCTGCAAGATACTACAAATCAAACAACGAAGGCCCGAAAAGCATGACTTTGCATAGACCCGTTGGTTGTGGAGGGGTGTGTATGTAAGACTGAGCCGGGGTGCACAGTGTAGGAAACAAAGTAACCGCAGCGGCGGACAGGCAATGGCATGTGTTGAGAGACTCTAGGTCATACAAATATTTCCCGCACATATCGGCACGATTTTGGCAGGATCACAGCAAGATAAAGCTTGCCTTGCCGAGTTCTCCCCGCACGACTGGCCGATTACGCCAGCTACCATCGCACTGGAAACTCGCACCGATAATTCGTCGACACGAAGGGAACACATTCGCCACTGTCAGAATGAGCACTTGTAGAAAATAGCCGGACAAAGGCAAGGGAAAGTTCCTGACCACAAACTGCATGCCGTCAGGTTGCCTGCTTGAAATGGACTTTTCTTGTATGTAAATTGTCCGACAGTTTATAAACAGAAAACCGCGCACGCAATGAACTTGCAACTATTCAACCACGAAAGCTCGGATGATAGCAAGTAACACGTCGCATGTGAGAGGTAAAGCTCTACCTGACGAATGGTTCGGCGACAGAAAACCATATAACTGTTACGTGACGAACCCCGGTGCCTTGGAAGGCGACCAAGTCGGGCGTAGATCAGCTGATAAGACAAACTTAAAATATGGTAAGACCAATCTGAAAGGAGCCCGTGACAGAAAACCAGGTGACTTAAGCACGTCGGGTAAGTTTCCTGCATCCTGGTACATCATTTGCGATGGTTTGCATAGTTTTAATACTCGTCCGAGGCACTCATGTGCGGTGGAATGTGACCAGGTGAACGACGGAGCTCTTCAGCCTTCGTATTTCTGAGCAACAGAAGGAGGGGCTTGCACAAAATGGCATAAGACGATTGTCCAACCATTCTTACGTCAAATTCCCGTCAGTTCGTCAGATGCGTGATACCAAGCCTCACTGGCTTCCGGCTGAGGACGTTTCACAAGCATTCGACGGTACGTGTGAGGACAGTGCCGTACCCGGCCTTGGAGGGCGGCTGTCCACGCGTGCAGGTTCGGTGAGGTGGGGTCGCGCGACACTGCGGTCACCCGGGCGCCGCTCATGACCAGGCCCGGATGTGGGAACGGAAAGGGAGCGCATCCCTTCTCGGATGTCAGCGATGACTGGGAAGGCCGTTTCTGGTTCTGATGCAAATGGCGCGCTGACTGTACCACTGCAGCACTGACGAGCTGACAGATACCAACACAGGTATGACCCATTCATGAGTGCTGGACATATTCCGCTGTCGGATTTATTGCCATAAGATGACAGCTGTCACAGTTTGCACGGGTCAACGGGCCAGCGAAGTCTGGAGAGTAGTTTGGGTTGCTTTTCTTAGGCTCGTATTCAGGATGGCCCCGACCACATATGAGTAACGGCCGAACCTTCCCATCATTACCAGCGTTATGCACATCTATGTATGTCAAGGAGGTGAAGCCTTGGGCTCCATCTGCGACAGCCACACGGAGGCTAAGCGGATAGCTAGCGCGTTAAAGACCCCAGCTATAATGGCGATGATAAGTCATTTTATCGAGATCCACACAATGGAAAAGTGGGTGAAGGTTTGGCGTTTGCACACCCACAAGATGGGCGGACAGCTTCCGCGAGGTGACGAAATGGAGATGGAACAGCGTGTTTTTTAAGATGAAATCACTGGATGCGAGTGGCCTGGCGTCCTGAAGAAGCCAGCCTGCACGACGGGATTGCGATAAGCTAAGCCAGTTCCCAGTATGGTTCGTCTACATCTGGTCAAGAACAAAGATGGTTCTGCACGCAGGTCCTAGACTGACGGGGGGGGGGGGGGGGGGTACTACCGAGTAAAGATAATGCCCTTCTAGAAAGATAAAGACCAGTGCCTTTTGTCTGATTGTTCAATGACGTCTAACATCTGCTAGGATCAGCCGTTGCGGATGAAAAACTTTCTGCTTAGCTCAGAGTTCAAACCCAGATATATTTGGTTCTCTACATTAAAAAAATAACCATCTGAACTAGCTATCAGCCCTGATTCATGTTCAGCTGTTAAAAACCTCGACTTACACTTCCGTGGCAGCCAAAAATATCTGAGGGAGTGATTTAGCCAGCTGTTTTGGTGATTATCGTGTAACTGCAGACCCCGCGTAGCACGCTGCTCTCCCTTCCTCGTCCTCACGCTTTACGATTAAATAAGTTGCAGGAGCTGTTTTCCTGAAAGCAGGGCTCCAGGGTCCTTTCTGCGGGAGCTAGAAATCTAGTGCACCTTATAATCCTACATGTGTTTTTGACAGCTTGTGTTATTATCATCCCATAGACATCATGGGGTGTCTGACAATATACAAATTGCTCGTTCGGTGCATAAAAACCGAGATCCATAGCTCATTTCTTCCTTATCTCCTTCGCCCCTTTTTCTGTGAATAGTTCCTCGACCTGAATCTCGATTCTGGGGGATTAATCTAAGATAAAACGATGACTGTCCCTCATCAGGATAGGGGTACGCATCTAGGTTTTTAACACTCCCGTAGTTCACGAACTAGGCAATGCTTCATGACGAAATTTTGTCCACGTTACGTGAGTTTCAACTGTACTTTAATGACCCGCACGTTTAAAGTCCCTACCAAGTCAGGTGGGAGCTGACATTTATACCGCATGGGACCGCAATGTGCATCTTATTGGGAAATTCGTAATAAACCGGCGCTAAACAACCCAACATCAAGAGGATAACACAAAGAGTAAAGATGGTGACTTGAGCGCACGCATAAGACAAGGACTGTTATGCTTTCTGTGGCACATCAACCCACGCGCACCACCAAACTGCCCACAGTAAATACAAATCCTGCGTATATATAAGTCCATAGTAAGTATAAGTCCTCCATATGAATCCCTGCGTGGTCTCTCGGGAGGCCAGTCCCTTTGGTCGTGCTCTGTGTGACGGCGGGATGTGCGGGGTGAGTGGTCCCGGCGCCCCGGGCGCAGCCCTGGACCACTGTTTCCGAAGAACGGCACGGACAGCCTGCATGACTCGCCTCTCTGCGAATTCTGGTGTGCACTGAACCGGAGTGGAGGCTGGGAAATCCCCCTCCGAAATCCCTCTCAAAGCGTTAGCCCAGCGGGCTGTCTCATAGTGTGGGCATTGTACGCTCCAGACCGACGTCTCCATGCGCGTAAACACAGGAGCGGAATGACAGAAGGCCACTACTATCCACACTTTTGCGAAAGTTTGACACTAATCCTTCGCTGATGCATGAAAAGAATCGACATCCAAAGGAGCACTTGCTCCCCTCGTTTTAGGTTGTTCCTACTCTGCTGTTTTCTGGTATTGGCGGGGATGCTGTTTATCGGTTATAGAATGCACATCACCGATGCCCATGACAGAAAAAAGACGTTACATGTCATGGTCACATAATGTCAGCCATTAAACATGTCAAATTAGCCAGTAGAGTCTTTGCATTTTTTAGCGAAAATGTCCGAAGTGACTCAATGGTGATGTGAGGGCCATTCAAGGTCAGGGTCACATCAAACCAGTACCCGAAAACAGTCCTCAGAAAAAGAAAAACGCGTTCATGCTGCCTCATTAGCATCATTGCAGACAAAGAATTTAGGTAGAAGATCGATCGGAACCAGGGTTATTGTAGGAAGGTCAAAGAATGGCCTCACGTTAGGTTAAATCATTGCTTGTAATCATTGGCGGTGCGGCTCAGTCTAGGGCCATCTTAGTTCTGTGAGGACACAGGAGACTACAATGAAAACAAACGAAAAAAATCGTGGTTTGCTCACATCAATCTGACCCGATAGGTCAACCACCGCAGATAACTTACAATATCCTCACTGAGGATATAGTTCATGAACGAGATTATCATCCCATTTTCGAATGTTTTTTATGGCACAGTGGGAAGTCCTACGGGGACGTGACAAAGCCGGTGAAGCTGGCGAAGCGACGACTGAAGGCAAACTGACGGCTGATGAGCTAACTGATAAGTATTAGCTCCCCATTAATGAGATAAGCATGTGCACAGCTCATGAGCTAATTGATAGCTACTAGTTCCTTATAAATGAGATCAGTATGTGCACAGCTAATGAGCTAAGTGCCAAGCTAGCTGATTATAAATGAGATCAACATGTGCACAGCTAATGAACTATTCATTAGGACTAGTTTCCTATAAATGGGGAAATATGGGGAAATGACAATGGGGAAATGAGATCAGCATTTGCACAGTTACCTGAAACGATGTATCCAGGGGTGCTACTTTCTATTCTTTTTATTAGATTCCTGCCTCACAGCGCCAAAAATTGACTTGGGCTCCCAAGGTTGATTTCCATTTCCCCAACAGCACGGTGGCCTGAATGTCACAGAATGGGGAAAAAGTAAAAAAAATCACACCGAGCTTGTTTCTTCTAACACAGCATGATGCCCATGGCATATCCATGGATCCTGTTGTAATTAATTTCAACAGCTCAGTAAAAACGAACGATCGCAGACTGCTGTGCAGGCAAACGGTAGCGACCGCAAAACAGCAAACTGGCCCTTATTACCACTCCTCAATCCTGAAGGCTGTAGGACCAAAGGTTACGTGACCGGGGTTCGGCGGGAGACTGTGCCGGTGTGAACCCAGCAGGTGACTGATGCTGGCGTGAAATCAGACGCAGCAGGTGACTAATGTCGTTGTGGAATCGAACCTGGCAGGTGAATAGTGTCGTTGTGGAATCCGATCTAGCAGGTGACTGATGTCGTTGTGGAATCAGACCTAGCAGATGACTGATGCTGGTGTGAAATCGGACCTAGCAAATGACCGATGCCGGAGGGACATTGAGCTCAGTGGGGTGTATCAGGCTGACAGGAACTCCGACTCAACAGCAAGAGGGAGGCGCCGGCACCAGCCAGACCCGAGCTGACGCATTGCTGCGTGGCTACTCACTGGAGACCTCGACGTTGTCGCTGAGCGCGAAGATGTACCAGAGCGAGAAGAACTTGTCGACGCCCCACTCCCCGAGCCGTTGGCCAGGGATGTGCGCCGTGTCAGGCAAGACCAGCTCGGCCGGCAGCCTGTGCTCGGCCGGCAGCGAGATGCTTGCCGACGGCGCTGCGCCGCCGCCCGCCACCGCCACCGCCAGAACCGCCGCCAGCAGCACCCGCATCGTGTCGGCGGCAAGAGTCGACTGAAGGTGGCCGCCGCCGCCCGCCGTTATATGGCGAACGCCGACCGGCTGGCCAGTGACCGTGGGTTTCCCTCGGTGCGCCGCGCGGCACCGCCGCGTCCTGGAGGGAACGAGGGAGGCGCAGAGACGCGGCGTCTTGGAGGAAACGAGGGAGGCGCAGAGCCGCAGTGTCCTAGAGAGACCGAGGGAGGCGCAGAGCCGCGGTGTCCTAGAGGGAACGAAGAAGCCACAGAGCCGCGGCGTCCTGGAAGGACCGAGAGAGGCACAGAGCCGCGGCGTTCTAGAGGGACCGAGGGAGGCGCATAGTCGCAGCGTTTTGGAGGGAGCGAGGGAGGTGCAAAGGCGCGGCGTCTTGGAGGGAACGAGGGAGGCGCAGAGCCGCGGCGTCTTGGAGGGAACGAGGGAGGCGCAGAGCCGCGGCGTCTTGGAGGGAACGAGGGAGTTGCAGAGCCGCAGCGTCTTGGAGGGAACGGGGGAGGCGCAGAGCCGCGGCGTCCTGGAGGGAACGAGGGAGATGCAGAGCCGCGGCGTCTTGGAGGGAACGAGGGAGGCGCAAAGTCGCGGCGTTTTGGAGGGAACGAGGGAGGCGCAGAGGCGCGGTGTCCTGGAGGGACCGAAGGAGGCGCGGAGGCGCGGTGTCCTGGAGGGACCGAGGGAGGCGCAGAGGCGCGGTGTCCTGGAGGGACCGGAGGAGGCGCAGAGGCGCGGTGTCCTGGAGGGACCGAGGGAGGCGCAGAGGCGCGGTGTCCTGGAGGGACCGAGGGAGGCGCAGAGGCGCGGTGTCCTGGAGGGACCGAAGGAGGCGCAGAGGCGCGGTGTCCTGGAGGGACCGAAGGAGGCGCGGAGGCGCGGTGTCCTGGAAGGACCGAAGGAGGCGCAGAGGCGCGGTGTCCTGGAGGGACCGAAGGAGGCGCAGAGGCGCGGTGTCCTGGAGGGACCGAAGGAGGCGCAGAGGCGCGGTGTCCTGGAGGGACCGAAGGAGGCGCAGAGGCGCGGTGTCCTGGAGGGACCGAAGGAGGCGCGGAGTGGCAGCAACCTGGAGGGAACGAGGAAGGCGCATAGTCGCAGCGTTCTGGAGGGAGCGAGGGAGGCGCAGAGCCGTTGCGTCCTGGAGGAAGCGAGGGAGGCGCAGAGCCGCGCCGGTCAGCCAGAGGCGCCCGGTCACGCCGGAAGTGTTGGTAGCAGCGCTCATCATAGCCACCCAACAAGTCAGGCTTTTGAAACCAGTGAGACGCCTTTAGGGCGTGAAACGGGAGTTCACTACAGCCACGATTGTCGTCCCCCTGTAGGTGACACAAAGCGTAAGCGAATGGAGTCCGTTGTTTTTAGAAACGCACATGAATGTGACGCATGGATGCGTCGCAAGTACTGTCCTTTCACGAGGCTGGCAGGCCGACATGCGCCGGTGTTAACCGTCCGGGCATAATTTACCCAAGCATTACTCGGACACCAGCCGGCTGTAAGCCTGTACCAACAGTTAAAATCAACCAACATGATAATGTCAATGACTGACGGTGGTGAAAATTAAAGCGAAAGTGTTGCGCAATACGATGATATCTTGGGAAGGCATTGGTCGCAATGAACATGACTACAGGACTGAGTACCTTATGTACGTGTCCCATTCTCGGGAGGTTCAGGCCAAAATACGAAGCACTTGAGGCCAATTTCGGAAAAGGTGGCATCAGCTGCTCCCAGGTGGTTACTGCTGGGATACCTCTGGGTTGGACGGTGTTGTAATCGCTTAAGAATGCGAAAAGGGTGCGCTCTCCTTCACAAGGCAGCTTATTCTACGTTTTGAAACGCTGTACTTTCCGAGATCTCACGGTAACATTAAAGACATCCGAAAACGGGAGGATCAACCGTTTTCCCACGATTGCGAGTAAAAGCCTATACACATCGACCCATACTATTTTGCTAATACGATTGTCCGCTTTCCGCTCCGGCAATATTATTTAAGATGACGTTGCTCTGACGCGTGATCACCGCACCTTTTCTGGACTTACTTTGTCAGTATTTTTTGTTTGTTTCGCGGTTAAGAAATGACGTTTTTGTGTTATTCGAGTGGGAAGAGGAGAATAGGGATATTGCGACCTTGCAATAACTACACCGCCAGGTCCAACAGCTTGCATTTGGACGTCTTGAGGACGTTACGGTACAGCTTTAAAAATGGCGCTCGTTTTGCTGAAAACGTCACAGTGGTATGACAAGTAGCTATAAAGATATCAGTCCACCAAAGGCGTGACTGGCTGTGTTGGGACGGGGCGGGACAGTGAAGATGCCAAGTGTCCGGTTAATTAACGTTAATACCTTTTCCCCGTAACCGGAGTCAGCACCTGCACTTAAAGTCAAACTGGAGCAGAATATGTTCACAAACACCAGGAATTTCCACCACCTGGGGCCCCACGACTTCCTCGTTGTCCTGTTTCTGGTACGTTCTGTTTTCGGTTTGAACGTAATCGCCCAGTGGTCATCGTACAGTGTGGCACAGGTGACAGGCTGGAGTCGCGAGAGGAGGGGGGAGGGGGCTGTCCGTGCGAGGTTCCCTTCAAGTCCGCCCACACCCTCGAAACGCAGGCTGGGGCCGTGTAAAGCATCGTTAGCTACAGGTTCGATAGGTTTGCACCAGGGCTCCAGCAGCCGGCAGTCACGGCAGCCGTTACTCCAGCAGTCAGCAGCCGTGGCAGCCGGTACTCCAGCAGTCAGCAGCCGTGGCAGCCGTTACTCCAGCAGTCAGCAGCCGTGGCAGCCGGTACTCCAGCAGTCAGCAGCCGTGGCAGCCGGTACTTCAGTAGTCAGCAGTCACGGCAGCCGGTACTTCAGCAGTCGGCAGGCGTGACAGCCGGTACTCCACCAGTCAGCAACTGTGGCTGCTGGTGCTCCAGCAGTTGGCAGTCACCGCAGCCGGTACTTCAGCAGTCGGCAGCCGTGGCAGCAGGTACTCCAGCAGTCGGCAGCTGTGACAGCCGGTACTGGAGCTGTGGATTGGGCAGCACGTCAAGGGCAATGAGCCAAAACCGCTCTCACAATCAGCATTCGTGGGCTGCACTCGTACCACGTAATGCGGCAGGAATGGCAAGCGCTGGGTAGCCCAGTCCGCCAGTCCGGTCCTGTTGGTTTAATGACGCTGAGAGAACGCATCGGTTTATTGCGGTGTGGAAGCCCGTTGCAAGAATCCTGACTCGACTTTACGTTCGTCAGATTCTTAATCTTAAATCATGACCAACATCTGCAAAGGAAGACATTGCCAGCGTTCTAGGCATCAGCTAATCCAGCCAATTTACGTTTGGCCAAGCCGATAAATCACCGACGGCGGTGCATCCTCTCTACGGTTGGGGACGAGAGCAACGTCGGCTGTTAAGTCGTTTCTTTACCCTGCAACCCCTGTAGAATAATGTCACGCCGTCTGACTTTGGGGGGCGGCTGTCCCTATGACCCTCCCGTTATTCCCTGGTAAATAAGCGTGTAGATGGTCCCAACAGGGCAGCTGCTCACGTGTGGACTCCGCACTCCGCGCTCGGTCAGGCCTCACGAGTAGCATGAGGCTGTTTCGCGACCAACTGCTCATACGTCAGACCGAGGTGAACCGAGTGAACTTATCATGTCAGTTCACTGCCCTGGTCCCTTACCAGGGCCACCGAGGTCGTCTCACATGAGTTACATCGCTGTCTCGGTGCCCCCACCGGATGGACATATACTGGGCTGTCTCATCGTCCCGACTCCTTCCCCATGGTTTCAGCTTCTCACCAGGGGCATCACAATGTCCCGACTTCCTTGCCACATTGACTTAATTGTCTCTGTTCCCTGGGCACGGTCACGAGGCTAACCTATCCGACTATGGGCGTCCCCTTGCCCTGGCTCATTCACGAGGACCATACCACTGCCCAACTCTCTCGCCATTTCACCAGGGTCACCCCACCGTCCGGGCTCCCGCGCTGAGGTCATCTCACCGGCCCGGCGCCCTGGCCAGCTCGGGCGCACGCTCGGCGGGGCCGGCGGGCGCTGAGGGCGCCGCTTTTTACCCGAGCGAGGCGGCGCTGCCGTGCCGCGGAGCGCGGCATGCCGTAACGGTCTGCCCACGGCAGGCCGGTCGGAATGCCGGGCCGCCAAAGAAAGTAAACTGAACAGGTCGACGGCATGGCGCGCCGGCCACCGTGGCCGTGTCAGTGACCCGTGCAATGGTGGAGCGCGGACGGCCGAGCGCGCGCCGCCGCCCGCCGCCGGCGCGGACGCGCCAGGTCACACGCGCACACTGGAGAGGCGACCGGCAGGTCATGGGTGTCGTGACGCGCGCCACCGCCCGCCCCCGGCACGGACGCGCCAGGTCACACGCGCACACTGGAGAGATGACCGGCAGGTCATGGGTGTCGGGACGCGCGCCACCGCCCGCCGCCGGCACAGACGCGCCAGGTCACACGCGCACACTGGAGAGACGACCGGCAGGTCATGGGTGTCGGGGCGCGCGCCACCGCCCGCCGCCGGCACAGACGCGCCAGGTCACACGCACACGCTGAAGAGCGGACCGACAGGCTATAGGTGTCCGGGCACGCGCAGAGACGCTCGAAATTGGGATCAGCATGCTACATGCGTGCGCATGCGGGCGAGGGAGCTCCGTGCAGCGGGCCGTTTTGGACTGCGTGAGAGTTCACGTCCTGTTTACGACGCCTTACAGCTGGCGAAGTACCGATCTGAGGAGAAAAGGCGCAAATTGTCGCATGGGATCGTTATCAGAGAGCTTAAACTTCAGCCCTTCCACGTGAAAAAATATAACACCAGTGGCAGCCACAAGCTCACGTTTCCATCAGCCCGCCGTGTTAGTCGCGCCCTTTCCATCAGCCCGCCGTGTTAGTCGCGCCCTTGCGCTCGAGGAAGTGATGATCCCAGCGTGTGCGTCATTGGGAATAATTGGGCCGATTTCGACACACGATCAGATTCCCTGCTGCTTTCGGTTTTTTCAATCCCAGAGTAACTTAATTCCTTCGTCAGATGTGCCGAAACAACGCGTGATCCTGGTAACCAGCGAATCGAGCACGCAATTAAATCGTGCACCTTTGGGCACGTTCTCAACATTTATGTTCGCGCTTATTGTTTTTGGAAGGCATCTGATGTATGCCGTGACAAGCAACAACACTCGGGGATCCTCGTAAACCTCATATTGGTCAGTAGACACATTCGTGTGCTGTTAGCCCCAGTATATGATCCGGTGCGCGTGCTTTTCCATATTTCTCGTCTAAAATGATATGGGGGTATGTGAGATAACTTATGCGCCCCATTATGTCCTAATACCCCACAACCATGAAGGTTGAGGAGAGGCTCGATTTTTTTCTTATAGGGCAAATATTCACTCGAAGAAATAAGGCGGAGCAGTACCATGGAAA